AGAAGTATTGATGGAAAAAAGTTGCCCTGAAAAAAGGCTTGGAAAATCGGCCATTTCTTTTGCATCAACCTAATAGCTTGTAATGTAAGAATAAAGAAACAGGGGTTGCGACGCGCAAGACGTGGAAGCCCATTCAATTTCATCTAGGAATTATTGGATGAAATAAAAAAGAGGAGCGCATGCCGTATGAAGATCTAAAGCTTTTCTGAAGTGCGAGTTTGATGTATAATAGCAAAAATCCGGGAAGACAACTTACTATAGAACGAACGTATGAACTTACTATCTAAAATTTTCATCATTGGTGATTCTGACCCACTCGGCAAACTTCCAAGGGACCTCTAATCCTAGATATGGTTGTCGCGTCATCTACAAGTCTTCTACTTCCCTCCAATCAAATATTTGGGAGCGAAACATCATTTGTTCTCATTTAGAGTTTCCGACTGAGGCGAGTCTGCCGAAAAGCTGAATAAAATTTATAGCAATTTTGATGAAGGCTAAACTGTCCCACGCAACAATTTCAGCTTTATTTAAAGGGCGCTAAACAGTACAGTCAAGCTATGCAGCTGCACTATTTCTTAGCATTTCTACACGATTTTAGCGCCGATATATATACGCGATATATAAGAAGGATTCATAATACGCAAAGACCAGGTGCCGCTGCGTCCGACCAAAATAGCTCGTACATGGGAGAGGCAACCGATGGTAAGAGAAACGAACTAGTGCTCGATCTTGGAGACGCCGGTATGTCCGCAGTCTTTGCGTGCTTTGAATCGCGTATACCTACACAAGTGGGAAGCTTGCCCATGACTCTTTCGTATTTTCTACCCAGCAATTCTTTTCATAGGTTTCTAGCTCAGATTCCAACACAAAAGGTTGTCATTCTTTATGAGACAATGTAGGGCTGACGGGCGCATTTTTCTCCTCTCCGTATGATAAGCTCTAGCAACGTGGCCTAACTGGCACGTCTTGCCACCTCTGTGTCTAGATTGCAGCAGTGACTTTCCTAATCGTCTCACAGAGATAAGGACTCCCAGTCGGTTTATGACTCGCGCTTTTGCCATCGAATTGAAGTTATCTATACAGCTATGTGCCAGGACGGTGAGGTGGGTTCAAAGCCAAGGGAGAAGTTGGGGCGTGAATGGAGAGTGGGGGGGGGGGGGGTGGGAATGCTTAAGGATGCATTTGGACATTTCTGAAAGAAATGCCTACATGTACGGAATCGTACAAGTTACTTGATTAGTAGATAGCTAACTTAGTTTCTGTACCATATAAATAAGGGCGCCTTGTTTTTTGAAAAATCCTGGACAGCAGGACCCTGCAAAATTTGCGAAAACCCTCCCTAAAACTTACGGAACGTGGACCACAACCTTCCATTTATAAATCTTGTCGGTACTCCTTCGGGAAAAAGTTTTCTGTGATTGCCATTGCTACGTGCCTATGATCGTTGTTGTTTTTATTGCAATGCTGAATTCCAGTAAAAAGTGAGAGCAAAGATTACGTTTCACACTGAGATTTTTCATGGAGAGTTCTTATGAGAAATAAAGAACAGAGTTTATGCAGCGAATTACGCGAGTAAGTTAGAAAGCCAAAACAACGCGGTATCGCCCACTGACTGGAAGCGACTATAGCTTCAATGCTGAAAATGAGCAATTCTTGCTCGGCAGTGCTCGAGCAAATCTGCTTACGTTGACATCTTATGTAATACTGCTCGAGCATCATTTTATGATATTGCGCAAGGCCCATTTCATATTTTATTTGTGGCCGAGATAATCAGCTCTCAACTCCAGGCAAGACTGTAATATTTCAGAGATAGCCAATCAGCGCCCTCGAGTACGGTAGAAAGTATGGTTTGGGCTGAATTACGAGTTAAACCTCTCAGCGAAAAGCACTACGGTTTGAGCGATGAATTAGTCGAGACCTACTGATTCCTCTCCATAAGAAACCCACGCTAGCGCTTATAAGATGATAAAAAGCTTTGGGGACGGGAAATGCAGTTATACTTCGTCTGTAGCTTCAATCAGCTATTTCTAGAATTTTCACAAAATTACTGAAGTGAGGAGTTGACGTGAGTTTAGAGTCAGTTAAACCATTGAGTGTTTGTGAAAATAACGCTTTTGTAAAGCTGCACGTTTCAACAGCAACAATTTAGGCTCGCATTCAAAAATGAGTGGGCAGAGTGCACTTTAAAAATTCTGCTTCTATCAAACCTAGCTTTATGATGTTCACTGCATTGTTCACCTGACAATACAGTACAGTAGAGAATTTAACCAGCCGGCGCACTCACGGGCACAAGCTTTGCAAACAGTTTCGAGTCGAGTTCGTCCGTTCCCTTTGACAGTTCAGCTCTCACAAGAGCTGCTTCCATATATGTTCGTCGATGTCTTTCGGTGTGTTTGCATTCATGGTCGCTTTGCTCTGCCACGTGTGCTTCGCTCCGTCCTCCGTATCTATGCTACGACGCATTGTTGAGTGAATGGTGAAATAATTCCATACTCAGCTTGCTCCTTAGGCGGTCGCTTTTTGCTCTTGAGCACTTGATTTGACTTTTTTCATATCTTCTAAATCTCACAAATATTTGCATATATTTACCCATATTCAGAGTCGTCTTCTTACCTGCACATTAACTGTATGATCAGTTCTCGACATGGAGTGGCTTTCCGAAAATGCAAAAAAAAGAACCCTTTGACTTTCGCAAAATTTTAGGAAGTCACCCCCCAAAAAAAACGTCACATCGACTAAAAGAAACATAAACTAAGTTGTGTTTCTTCGGCAACAGAGACGATATTTCCTTTGCTTTTTGTCGCAAAAACGATGTCCAGCTCGCTTATAAGCCCCCTGTGCTGAGCCCTTGTGATTCTATCATTGGCAAAAAATTATGTAACATAGGGGTTCGAAATTGGCTTGAATGCGGGACTCCACTGGGAATCTAACAATGGTACCCCCCCCCCCCTCCAAAAAAAGAGACTTTGACATTTGGTGCGAAAAGCGATGTCTTCATATTCATGAAGATGCTGAGTGTCCTCGTAAGTGAGGATCATGCTTTGTGAACTATGAAGTTTAAAAATAACGCATAATCATGTAAAATTTTATCCATAAATCATCCGTCCTAGCAAGAAATAAAAAAAGCAGCCAAATTTTTTCCGGTACCCTCCGGGCTTTCATATTACTAGATGCAGACGACGATAACTTCCAGCCTGCAGTAGAGGAATTTTATAAATTTTCTGCTAACACCAGGTCCTGTATCGTCTGCTGTAAAGTCGCTCGCACGAATAATATGTAGACTAGCTCAGCAGCTTGACGATAGGCCCTTGGAGAATACGGTAGCTCTGCAAAAGCGACAACTCTTAGATTTGCCAAAATTTCTTTCGATATTCAAGCAAGAGCTTTCCTAATGTGTTTCTGATTCGCAACCTTTCTTAACAGTGTGTCATCAAACATTTGACACTACGGCCTTTGAAGAAGGAATCTAAACTTTGCGACATTCCTAGAGAACTGTATCTTACTCAGAACTTGATTTGGGTTTGTAATGCGGACGTAGTAACAAAGAAGAGGAGGAATTTTCTACTAAGAGAAGCATAGCTGAAAAGGGTTTTCAAATCGAATTTTGTATTAATTTGGAGGGCACAAAGTGATGCTTTTGAATCACAACACTATCTGTTGAATCCTTTGGACAAGATTAACGCAATTCTACTTGAAAGACGAATCTCTGCTGACTGCGACATAAATTGGGCTTTTTGACGTTCAAATGAAGCAATAGAGACTCGGGAAAAAGCCTACATTGTACTGAGATGTCGAATGCACGTAAAAAATTGAAGAGTTCGAAAAAATTTTAATTTGCAAAGAAATAATTCAGCAGTTGTTTAAATGATTCAATTTTGAGTTGGTAGTTCAATTAAATGAATTATCAAGCGCAATGCCTCTCGAAAGATTTTTTACAACTGCCCGCTTAGATCTTCGTTTCGAAACTATGTGATTCGCGCAGAGGCACTTCGAAGATAGGGGTGTTGATTTGGAATCAGTGTTTGATCTACTATGAAGGAATACCATAAAAACGCCACTACAAGGATCCTTTTTCTTCTGCTGAATAATGTGTCTTTTTATTTCTTAATAATGCTCTGACTACGTATTTTTACCTCAATAAATTGGCCGAAACATTAGGTCTCTTTTCGTGCACACGCAGCGTCTTTTTTCAATCTTTGATAACACTTTCACTTACAGTGACATTGCCAGAGCTACGTGGCAGACCATCTGTGCCACGTTGCCTGTCGCCATCATCAAAATGGAAATCTAACCAATAGCCGATCGTAGGTGCAGCTGTATCAATCTGTAAATTCATGCCCTTTTATAGATTTTATTGTTTCAGAACCTCTTAGTTCGAGTTTCTCTAGTCATGTGTACAGTCAAAGCCTAGTAGAGCTGTTCATCGCCGGCAGCAACCCGTTCAAATCAGCAATCTCCTCTACGAATCCTTCAAAAATTGCCATCGAATGACGCCTTATATACCAAAAACTAGCAATTTTTCCAACGAATGCTTTAGATTTAATCTTTATTAACACTTCTCCTTCGAGAATCTATCCTTTGATGCTGTCTACTATTCATTTTCGTCTTCATATGTAGTTACATGCCTCCGAGGATAGAATTGTATCACCATATTTTTTGTGGCGATATGGTCTGATTTTGAATCTCCTTTTATCTCTGATAACTGGCTGGCTAGCGTAATCACAAAACCAAAGGACGAATCTGTCTTTTCAGAATAGGTTCACCCTCACAGAGATTTAATTTCAAAAACTCAAAATATACGCTAGCTTGCCGAACAACCCATTTTATAGCTGGCCTCGGAGATGTAATTGATCCGATAGAAGCAGAGACTTCTATTTTCATATCTTGCCTTCTTTTTACTTCGTACAACAAAGCGATGCTGTGATATGTGTACATAGATCCTTACTTTGCCAAATTATTTTTTCTATAAGTCCCTTTCATTTTGTAACCAAAGAATATGATTAAAAATAAAACTTTATTAGACTTCATGCATTTGTAGCGCCATGAGTGAGAGAGCTCATAGACATAATTCGATCTATTATAGAGTCTGTATTCTGAAAGAAAAATAAAGTAAAAGAAGACGACAAAAGTTCTAATGCAAATCAAGTACGCTAAAAACAACCCTTTGATGAGAAAGAGTGCACTCGAAAGAGTCCATCCAAGTTGATCCGAGCGAGTTCGACCCATGCGATAAACGAGAGGACAATGGAAACAAATAAGAAAAGCAGAAAGCGATGATTTTGAACACACTCGTAAGCAACACCAGAATTGTGCGCTTTCGCAAAGACGGAGAAAATGCTTAGAGGCGAAAGTCACAAGGTAAGAACGAAGAGATATGTGGCAAGTAAATTTTAGGAAACAATCACCAAGGTCAACGGGAGATAAGAGGGACCACGTTCACAGGTTAAGCATAACTTTATGCACCATTCATGATCGATTAACCTTTGTTCTTCATACCGAAAGCAGAACAGAACTTCGAGTAATACTCGCTGTATATATCTCGGACCAATTCAGCTACTGGATCTTGTTGCCTTGCCACAGCTTCCAGACCTTCAGCTAACCGTTGCAAAATAGCCTAAAAGTGAAGTATGAAAAAAATAATTTTAAAAAATCAATACTCAAATCTCGAACTTACGATAAAATCGTGAAGCAGATACCACATTTGATTGACGTGAATCTGATTCAATGTTAGCAGTTTCTGCCGAGACTCATGCACCCAAAATGCAACTGCGAATGCATTGTACCAGATCTAAACAATTATTGTAAGAATAATATGTTAAATGAAAAAAAAATGTGAAATGCTCTTACCTTCCTACCACGATGGTCTTTCTGATTGAAGTTTATTACAGGCATGAATGATGAGTCATGTGAATAGCCTTCAAATACAGGTGGCACAAGTTCGTTCTTGAGAAAAACATCCTTTGCATCATAGTGGCCAATAGCAAACTCGTGAGCCTGAACATTTTTCAGTAGCAAACAGTTAGCTTGAGAAAAACTTTCTTAATAAGATTTCAGCAAAACCAACAATAAAAAAGAGTAAACAGCAGCAAAAACGTAATATTATGTACGATTTTACGATGAGTACAGGAGAGGGAGAAAAAGTGATTTGATCTTCTGTCCTCAACTATCTGACTAAAGCGTATTTGTCGCAACTATATTTTCAAAATTTTTAAATATGCTGAGTCCAAGTGCATTGCAGTTTTGTAATGTAAAACTCGCTTTTTCCAAACGTGAAAAATGCTTTTCACCAGAATCGAAGAAGTCGGCCTGGAGGGTGGCTGGCGGAGGCGGGTGGATGCAGAACCACCCCTTGCCAGCTTTTGGATGCGTGGCTGTCTCTCATCAGAGTGCCAACGATCAACCTACCCCCAAATGTAACAGATAGTTTTTGAGCAGGGCTCGGCACGAGCTGGCACCAGAAAATTTTCAAAACGAAGTCCCCTTTGACTTTCCCAAAAGTTTACGAAGTCCCCTTTGACCCTCAACGATATCCCCTCTAAAAACCTGAAAAATTCCCAGAATCCCCCCAAAAACGAAACGTCGACTAAAAAAAAGGTCGCCAATTTTTGACGTGTCTTCGCCCCCAAAAAACGAAATTCCCTTTGCCTTTTGCCCCAAACGATATCCAGCTTGCCCCGTGCCAGCTGGTGCCAGGCCCTGTTTCTGAGTCTAGAAAGGAGTTTTTGACATTATCAAGACCTGCACAGTCCTGGGTTCAGCAATTTCAGAATGTTCAGGAATATGATAACTTCGGAAACCGGCCTTGAAACAAGGTGGTATGAGTATTTTTGAAGCATGCACAAATAGATTTCTCCACTATCAGCTTAGGATAAACGGCTATTTTCAAACAGAAAAGTTCTATAACTCGAGGGACTTGTCAATGAATAGTGAATTTGTAATTGTGAAAATTAGAACGTACAACAAGATTGTGATTGCTTGACGCGGCAGCCATGAACTTCTGGTAAAGAGAAACAGCAAATTCGTTGTATTCATCGAGGAGATGCTGCATTTCATTCGGCAATCCGGTTAGGAAGATCTGAGAAAGCAAGGTTAGTGATAATGATAGATACTATCTAATACAGAGCGATAATTCAGTAAAACCAAGAAATCACCAAATTTTTGGCCTCGGCAGGGTAGGTACTTTTGTCATCCATTTGGAACCAGTGAGGCAGTCGTTCCCGAGTGAAGAGGTTGGCCAAAATCGTGACCATCTTGAGTCTCAACTTGTTTTTGTCCTGCAAAAAAAGAAGACACTTGGTTCAATAAAAAGTTGGAGAAGTTTGAATGTATAAGTTAAATCAAAAAATCTTAAAAAATGACTTACCGGGGTTTGCTTGATCATCACATGGAAGGCTCCTCTTTGTAGAAGATGTATGAAGAGTAGATTTCCTGGCTCTCCGGTACTCACCTCGGCTAAGGAAGCAGCAAGTCCAGCCAGATTTTTGCCAACGCACTGAAATCGAGAGTTGGGCCATAATATAGTAAAGGAATTCAGGGATCGGCACAGGACTTCATCTCTAGTATTAGATAGCACGTTTACTCTTCTGCCGTACGCACAGAATCGCAAAGAGAATTCGTAGTGTATTCAAATCTCATGCTAATCTTACGCGGACCCGTTTGCACGAAAAGGTAAAAGCCAACATGAGTTTTAAATAATTAGAAAATTGATTGAAAACTATGAAGTAGGAAAAGCAAAGCAATTCTTTTTAACTCTGAAAGCTGGAGTTTACGTTCAGTACATAATGGAGCATCAAGATGAGACGACAGGCGTCGAGGTCTGAGCCAGGCAATCAAAGAAATGCGGTAAAGTCTTACATTTTCAGTCAGCAGCTGAAGATGCCTCAAAAGCTGGATCGAATAAGCAGCATACAAGCGTAATTGCTTCTGCAGTGTACCATTCTCCGCCTCACGTCTGGTGAACAAAGAGAAGGAATGTTGTAGTAAGGAAAGCGCACTCTAAAAACTGTGGTAAAACTTGAATAGTTACAAAAAGGAAAAAATGAATACAGAAGAAATGAAGATCACCTTTGCTCTCTCTGCGAAGGTCGAGATTGGTCCGGTGTGATCTTCCGCAATAGCGTCTTTGGCATGGACATACGAAAGTGCTCTCAGGATGAACGATGTGGAAAATGGAGGATTTCCTTGTAAGGTTGACAGAGAAGCTGTCAGCAAACGTCGCATCTTGCTAAAGCGTGCAGCAAAACTACTTCGCTACACATGCAACTAGACCAACCTTGTGGGAACACTCATAAAGCACACATTTCCAGAATGATCGAATCCTCGACGTCCAGCACGACCACTCATTTGTCGGAACAGAAGAGGTGTGAGCAATGGAGTGTCAACACCAAAGAGTACCGTTTTACAAGGCATGTTCACACTAAAAATGATCATATTTTACATAGTCTGCATAGCTCAAACATAAATGGATGGCACATCTCCATGTTTCGAAAAATACTCACCCAAGAGCCAAAGTCGATGTAGTAAATATGATGGCTAAATGACCACTTCGGTAGAGAACTTCAACAGCACCTTTTTCAGCGTTATTCAAAGCTCCATGATGGTAACCAATTCCGCGTTCGAATAACCGGAGCAACATTCTGAGAAACCATAGATTACAGGGAAAACGAATATATAAGAAAAAAGAGATGTAGCAGTTGTTGCACTTTTGTTACCTGGTGCTTTCACGGCCTCTTGATCCTTTTCGCATTCTTTCTGTCATTTTATCATACAAATCTTGATCACCACCACCGCGACCACGTAGTCGAAACCTAAGTTTGAAAAAAATGTGAACCCATTATTTCATGATATTTCAACTAGAAAAATTTACGTACTTTGCAAGAACTTGTTTTAGTCTTGCACGCTGAGCTGCGAGTGGATCAATCTCTTCAGTTTCATTTTTCTCGTCTTCATCTTCATTCTTTTCTCCTTTCTTCTTGTCAGCCATATCACGTTTTCTCTTCGCAAGTTTGGCGATTTTCTAGACATTTATGATTCAGCAGATAGAGTCGAGTCATTTCATATGATCATGTGTGTCATTGCACACACGGTCCACCTTTGGCGTTCCCATCCTGGATTCTTGGAGGAAACAACTCTTCAGGTAAGTGTTTTCAATGTGTTCTTTACATTTTCTTTCCTTTTTAGTAACTGATCACCTAAAATTGCTGTAATCGATAACAATCGGTAAGTCTCTTGCGTTCTAGTGATTGCAAATCCAGGATGAGGTAGCTATGTTTGCATTGACACACATGTTCAAATAAAATAACTTGACTGTGTGCTAACAATCATGAAATAAAATATCCCACAACTTACATCTTCGTCTTTTATTGCGTACTTCGTTTTGAATTCAGCGCTATTCATGAACTCCTAAAGAAAGATAGTCGATTGAAGCTAGGTAAAGAGCAAAACTATGTACCATTTCTCTGTCTTCGAGCTCTTTGCAGAGGCGAATAGCAAGGTTCTCACACACGCTCCTATCATCGTTGAAACACATCGCAGGCAGCATATTCTTTTCGTTCATTTCATCAACAATGCGAACGATATTTTCCAAAGCAAGTTTCTCCTGAAATGAGGTTGGGTTTCCTTGGGTTTGGATCTGCAAAATGTCGCCACCTTATTGAAAGGAACAGCGCGGTGTTTCAGTTGTTCATCAATGGGCTTCGCTAAGTTATCGAGTACCTGCAATAAAAATATTAGAGCTTCGAACTGAAGATCAGGCTGTTGACCTTCTTCAACTTCTGTTCATCTTCCGCGAGCCATTGAAGGAGACGTTGCTTCAAACCATTTTCGAGTTTTCGTAAGGCGGAACGCGAAAGCCAGAGCGGTTCATTTGCTTTATACCCGTAGAAGTGACATGGCTCGAATTCACTCCTGAAGTGATGGGTATAGTATTACTTTCTGCAAAGCATCATTTCTTGAGTACTTGGTTTTTTCGTCTACAGCCGCCATAGTTGTGTAGAGCTGCAAGATCTGTCGCGCTGTCAATTGCTGGTCATCGGGGATGCCAAACATCCTGATTTTCTCGGGCATGAACACACCGTACGGCATGAATGGCTCGATCATGTCTCCATCGATGGAATCGGATGTTGCAGAGGAAGCGACTTCAAGATCTGCAAAACAATTTAATGATGAAAAAAAATTGAAAATGGGATACCATACCATTATTGGGGTTAGCCTCGATAGGCTGTGGCTTCTCCACGCGCATGATGGACAATTCCAGTTCAGAATAGCGTTCGTGATGTATGATAAGGTCTACCTGAAATAAACACAAAATATCATACCTTGAGCAATAACTGTGTAATATTTCCTCTAAGCTCGCAGAACTATGATTGGAGCTGGGTGAAGCGCATGATTCTTGCAAAAAAAAAATGGTTCGAATTATTCAGTAGAGACTTTACCTTACGCTTATGATCCGTTTTGCTCTGCTCAGCATTATCCAACCACGCATGCAACTTAGCTGCATTTCCGATTGTTGCCGATAAAGCGAGGAAGGGGCACTGAATGAGGAGCAGCAAATGTTCCCAGATGTGAGCTTCCGGCGAGGCTCTAAACCGCACTTGCTATATGAAGAGATGATAGCCAAACTCGTAGCCTACCCAATTGAATGGACTTCATCAAAGACTACATATTTGATGTGAGAAACAAATTCTTGCACCTTCGGGTTGGTAGAGAGCATCAAAGCCTCTAAGGATTCTGGCACTGTGACCAGTACCTGCAAAGGGTGTATGCTGGTTAAAACAAGAAAGCAAGAGAGCTCAACTTCACTGCATCTTTATACTCACAATGCTAACCCACTCTTCCTCTAGATATAGAACTAATGTAGGATTACATGCATACCTGACACTGAAGCGGGTTTTGAGAATGCTCCGGATTCAAGGTTCCAAATAAAGACTTTCCTCTGGTCATTGATTTGTTCCGGAATCGGGCATACACTGATCCGCAGACCTGATATTAACCGCTATATTAAGAAGTGACGTTGTGAAAAGAAAGAAAAATCCGCGAATCTGCACTATTCTGATAACATACCTGATTTATGAGAGCTTTCGAGGGAGAAACGTATACAACTACATCGTCATCGCTTGCTCGCAACACTTTCTCGATGCAGTAGTATGAGACGAAAGTTTTACCAGCAGAGGTGGGAGCAACTATGATGGCGGAATTGCCTGAAAAGTTAGTTACTCTTGGATAAAGTGGACAATAGCACTTCTTCACTGACCGCGGTCCACTGAGTCAAGCATCTTCCTTTGCCAAGCATCCGGAGCGAAACCGGTCACACGGTCGTCCTTTCTTGGGTCCGACTGGATATCTATTAGCTCTCCGCCATACTCCAGTTGGTAGTAAATCATGTTCATGCCAAGATCCAATCTTTTCATTTTCGCTTCGGCAGACGCTTTCATACCAGCTGGTACTTCGAAACCTAGAGCTGTCCAAAGATCTACCACTTGTTCTTTCTGCTTCGAGTCTAGGTGAGGCCAGTGCGTAACAAGACAATCCTTCAGTCTTCCCACAAAAGTGACGGCTTGTACTCTCCTAATAAGAAGAATTCCATCAGCTAAAAAGGTCAAGAATGGAGAAAAAGAGAACAAACCGGGCCTCCAGATTCTCCGGTCCCGTCAGTCTTCCCAGTAGATCTCGCCCTTCTCTTATCAAAATCTCATAAGCACATAGTGCTTTCGATTCCGGCAATTCAAAAGTGGCATAACAGCGTTCAAGGAACTGTACTGCCTACAAAGCATCTAAGTATATTACGTTAAGATCTACTTATTTAAACTGTACTCACGTTTCTTCCTTGCTGCGTGGCGAATTTGATCTTATTTTTTTCGCCTTCGATAAGCTTTGAATCTTTTGCTTTTTTGTTCGCTTCAAGAATCAGATCCTTTTTAGACTTCGCTGCCTCCTTTAAACCTTTCTTTCCACCACCACCTCCTCAAATACATGACTGATTGCAGAAAAGAAACGAGTCATCCTTACCTTTCTGACCAGCCCATGCCTTTCCTGCCTTTTTGGGGGCATTATCAACACTCACATCCTCAATCACGGCATGGCCTTTCGGAATACGAGAGAAGTCAACGAGCAGATTTGTACCTCGTCCTTCCAACGAATTAGCGAACATTTCGTACCTTAAGCAGATGCAATATTTTGACTACAAAAAAACAAAGCGATCCAACTGACCATCTGCTCATTTGCTGGCGAGCTTTATTTGCTCTCTTTCTCTGCCACTCATTTGTAACAACCTCCACTTTCTTCGTAAATTCCTCTTCAATTGGTCTCAGCTTCCAAGACATCTTTTCTTGCATAAGAGCAACATAATCTACAGAAAAGCCTTCACAACAGCGAAACCTAACTGCTTCAAAACTAATGCCGTTTTTACATGCAGTTATCTATATGCTGATGAAGTTCAATGAAAATGCCGGTTTTGAGCGAAAAAGTTAATGCTGCCATGTCAGATCAAAGGTAAACATGCTATGCACAGAACGATAATAATATGATGCCAAATCTTTTTTTTTTCAACACCTTGCTGTCGGCCATCTTCGAATACTGTCTCCGCATGAGCTGTCTTCATCTCAGGTATGTATTTATCTACCAAAGGCGATTTCACTGCATACATCACCGAAAGTGATGACAAAGGATTTGGAGCCTAAACCTCAGCAGTATCATAAATGCGGACTAGAGCTGGCAGTACTAACCTCTGGTATTGGATCGAACAGCTTTTCTGCTGTGTCGGTGGCTATAGGTTTGGTTAATGCTGCCTTGTTGTGCAGACGAGCAAACTCTTCTTGTATGCGGTAGGGTAGGATCTGTCAAGAACATTGTTAATGTGGCAATGAGACATAATACTCACAGGTTCGTTGGCGCAAATGACGTCGAAACAGCCGATAACCATTCGGCCGTCCCAAAAGTCGGAGAATGAGAACTTCACAGTCTAGAAATAGCAACCTCAAATCATCCACTTATCACAATGAGTACTAGTAAATAATCTATTTGGTAAGTAATCTATCTAGACGCTTACCGCGAAGTTCAGCTTCTCTAAAAACATAGTTGCTGTGGTGAGCAGCAAACGTCTGTCTTTAATAACATCCAGTCCTCGCTTAGCACCTTTTTTCTCTGGTAAGTACACCCGAGATGGGCCGCGTTTGCTGGATATTAGCGCTGATAGGAGAACCGCACAACATAGAGCTTCGAAATGCTCCGAGATGGAATCGCTGCAAGACACAAGGATCACCAGTGACAGCAGTGGATATAAGACAAGACAAAGAACAGAGGAATACCGAGGGCACCTCTTTTTCGCTGCAATAATGATCTGTGTCCACAAATCGGCGACAGAAGTTACAGAAGAGGCGTCTTCGGTTGGTGACTTGCTCATCTTCAGCAACATACCTAAAAGAAGATTACCTAGGGGGACGATAATGCCAGCTAGAACTCACTGTTGCATTCCCAGTGTGCCGCTGCAAAACTCTCCCAGTTATACTTGATACATAGCTTAGGGTTGATATAATAAGCGAATACAGATGAGAAGTTCACGACAACTGATGACAGCAAAACAACCGGTATAGCTTGCGATAAAACATCTAGCACTGTAAAAAAACGTGTCTCAACATTTCGAAAAAAAAGAACGGTAGAGCTTGAACACTTTACCAATAGTTTCCAACTGAGGCGAGATATCCAAATCCTCCTGTGCACACGCCTCGCGCGTGACATTATCAACGGAGATCATCTGAAGTTGGACAAGCAGTTACTGAGAAGACGTGTCGTGAAGTTTGTAAACGAGGGACCCACCAAAAATGAGGGGGTCAAATCATGGAGGAATTGTGCCCATTCAGGGTCCACAGGACTAGAGAAATACAACAAATCCTGGAAATGAAAGAAAACTAATAAACGGAATTAGATATTTGGATCAAATCACCTTGGCAAAAGGTCCAGTACAGATGTGAGCGATCGCTGTGGCACGCGCGAAGGCTAAGGTGGTATCGCGTGCAAACATCGATGCAAAGTCAGTAAAAACAATCAACTTAAATTTTCCTCCAAAATCCACGAATTGTTGGAGAAATCTATCGATCTGGAATTGAAGGATATAATAGTAAACAAAAATAGTATCGTTGAGTGACACCTGCTTGGTAAGAACAATAGATTGTCCTGCTAGAGTCCAATCATGGTAGGAATGTGCTAAGCATTCGACTACTAGACTATCTAGTGAAATAGCGAAGATTTCTACATCAGCGAATTCGGATATGATGTTCCTGTACACGCAGTCGAATTGCGTTATCATCTGGAATCAAATTCATCAGCTCATAAGAGTACAGATGCAGCCGCATCAAGAAGATCATCAGAACTCAAAAATAAATTATTTCACCGCTATCAACCTTGTATATCTTGATCCCTCCCGTCAAATTCAATTTCTAGAAGTACTGCAAAGGTAGGTCTGTCTGGCTCTATTGCGTAATATGACTACATCAGAATCAATTCAGAGCGCTTTATCATACTCAAGAAGCTGATTTAAATGATCACCGTAAAAACTCTAATGACTGGAAGAGGTTGCGAGAGAAGTAAACCTTCAAATTTTCTGCACTCGCATATTGCACAGATGCACGAAACTGAAACGTTCTCAAAACTATCACGTTCGTGGTATAGACCGCACTTTGTGCCCACAGATTAGTAATGAATAGAGATTTGGTGTTAGCGAAACTTATAAGATCTTTGAAATCGCCAAAACCATTATATATGAGGTTACATCATTTCAGTTAAGATTAATGACTGGTCTAGAATTCCATGAACACTTGAAAGAAATATAAATGCGGTCATGCTCCTTTCCTCGAAAATTTCAGGGTTACAGGTCCGCTAGAAATTTAAAAACCTCTTTCTTTTGGGAAAAAGAAATCCCAGAAGCGCCAGTCTAGTAGTTTGGCAAACAGTTTAGCACATAAGCCAGATGCAAACGATGCAGCCAACCTTAGAAATTTTGCCATTTGTAACCGTTCAGGAAGCAGAACTCAGCGAGAGGAAACCTCGTTACTACCTTGTGTACAGCCTACATATTATCGCGCTTCCGCATGCATAAGGTCGTTTTCTGAGCTGACACCAACCTTACTAATACGATAAGGTGTTCCTCAGTCGACTTCCCGAAGCTGACAATTTTCATATTTCACCTCAGAGACCGCCTAGACGTGATGCTGAGAGAAGGACAGGGACCTTTGCGGTTTTCTCTGAAGTTATGGATGGTATGCAACATTTGGATGGTCAAGAAACTGTGTCAACAAAGGTAGAAGAGCCTTTTCTGATAATCCTTCAGTTGTGCTCAGTCGCAGCCAGAAACGTGTACAGACTGGCAACTCAACGGCTCCAAAGAATACACAAAAGATTTTGCTGCAAACGACCGCCCTAATCGACGAAGTGCCTGTAGCTGAGCAGAGAAGCAAAAACTAGCTACAATTTGCATCCACATCTGCATCCACAACTACTTGTCCCTGTACTCAAGTCTGCGAAAATGAACGTATTGGCGTATTCGCCTTTGACCACCTGCGATCAAAGTACAGTCGGTTTCATCCTGGATTAGGCACAATCTACATGGAACAGCGCATGCGCATGGCAGGAGGCTTTGTGAACGCTAGTGGCATTTTGCCAAGCAAAGACTAAGGAGAATGAAGAGACGCAGGCCTGGGTTCTCAGCATAATATGATATACTGTAGTTGCGATACGGCGCGAACGTTGCGAGGCGGACTGCCTCCGATCCACCTCCCGCCTAGAGCGGGTGAAAACTTGCTGTAACTAAATGAAAGGTTATTGAGTGAAATTAGCTAGTATGCTTAGCGTCACCGCAAATACGGAAACAAACGTATGAGAACCGCCTAGCCAGCAGCGACAACACGAAACGTAGCAAAACCAGTGTCCGGGCAAAAATCCAATCCCTAGCTTCACTTACCTTGGCTAATTTGCCAGGCTTAGGCCGAATTCTCATCTTGGAGACCGCGAAGACGGCGAATCACACTTCCGAAGACATTACTTCGTACTTGGACGAGTGGGAGTTCCCGCCACGTAAAACGCAAATTCGCTGTAGGACCCTACGACCTAGGCTGTGCAGCATAGGCACCCGCCATACTTGATCCGCTTCATTCGCGTCGTTAGGGATCGTTCATGACGCGCACAAAGGCGGACGAAGGCGGACGAAGCCGGACGAAGGCGGACAAAGCCGGACAAAGGCGGACGAAGGCGCGTCTTGTCTCGTCTCGTTTCTCTCGACACACACACTCACACATGCCTTCGTCCGCCTTTGTGCGGCTTCGTCCGCCTTTGTCCGCCTTTGTGCGCGGTATGAACGATCCCTTATTGGTCGATTCAGTGAATTGAGCAATAACGACGCGGTTGTCCGCTTGATCCACTTCATCCACTTCACTATTGGTCAGTCCACTGAACTGACCAATGATGAAGCGGATCAAGCGGATCAAGTGGATTAAGCGGATCAAGTATGATGGCGGGTGCCATAGGCTGGGCTCATACTGTTCCGGAACTTACGAACAATATGAACCCAACCATAGGCACACACCATAGGCTCGTTCATACTGATCCCGAAGTTCGGAAACAGTTCCAACACTGCGCTCAGTTCGAGTGCTGTGCTGGAACTATTCCCGAACCTCCGGATTAGTATGAACGCAGCCGTACTTGTCCACTTGATGCAATCGCTATTGGTCAAATCATGAACTAGCCAATGGCGAAGTGGATGGTGGATCAAGCGGATGAGTGGAATGTTTGGCTCGTACCATAGTCGCGATAGGAGGAGCAATGGTTCTTACCCCCACTCTGAACCCTTTCATATGAGGGTGAAATAGGTCGATGGGTAATCGAGAGGAAACTTGAGATTTGTGATCAGTGAATAAATGTAGGCGTCATACTCCAGCTATTAAAGATAGCAAAAACAATATATTTCAACAAACTTGGTCATAATACGCAAAGTTATAACATTTGAATTAGTTTTAGCGCCTGCCGAAGACTCCTCACAAGGGGTTGTTCAGATCTCACGTCACCACCATGATGAAGACGTAATGTAATGAATGATTTCGTTGATGAACGTGAACCGTCGTCGCTTAGCTTTCATGTTCGCTGCGGAAAGAGAGCTCAGCGTGATTACACCAAATCGGTTAATATATTGGTCAGATAAATTCCTTCAAATCTTCCTGCTCATAAAAGCTTAGAAAATCTACGGTCTACGTCAGCTATATGCTAAGCCCTCAGTTGATATATAGTTGAGCTTTTCTTGTGGCTTCAAAAAATCTTTGCTCCGGTGACCGACGAAAGCTAACCAATTGTGTGCGACGAAGAGCAAGGTAATAGTATAACTCCACCTCGATTAGAAATTCACATTAGCTGAACCAAAAAAAACCGCGAATTTTGTCGGAAACTTCGTCTAGAGGGGGAGGGATGGGTATTTTGTACGCTGGTCACGAGTATCACTTCCAATTAGTGCCATCTGATGAGTTACTTAACACGGTAGGAGGTCTAGATCACAGATTAAGCCGAAACTTCGTCTAGAGGAGTTATCTGGCATGCTGATACTCATATTCATTTCGTACGGTGGCATTTTCTCGTGTTACTGTTGGTATGCGGTAGATGGGTTGGAATTTTGCTCAAAATTTTGCCTGGGGGGTTACCCAACATGCTGATTACGAATATCATACTCTATTTGCGTTCTGGGATCTGTCCGTGGAATTACGATAGCATGGTGGTTGAAGTAGTACATGGGGGAGGGCATGCTGACATATCTATCGACCTGCTGATCATGTAAATCGCGCTCATTTCGCATGATAAGGCCTCTTTTGAATTTCTGCGATATGCATTGGCCTGGAAAGCCAGAAACTTGTTCATTTGTGCACTTTGTACCGTAACTCTACAGTAAGGGGTTGCTGCAGCGAATGAGCACGGTATTCCTAATCAGCATGCTCAAGCACCCCTCTGGACAAAGTTTTGAGCAAGACTGGGATTTTGACATCTACCTATACTCAACGTAAACCGAGAAAATGATGCCACGCACCAATTAAACAGATTCATGTTCAGCAAGCCAACCCCCCCCCCTCCACGTAACCCCACTGTAACACCGATGGCACTACCGTGCGAAATAAATACGATATTCGTCCAGCATGCAAAATACCCCTACGCCCTGAACAAAGTTGCGGTGAAATCCAAGATTTTCATTTTGTTCAACTGATGTGGGATAACGCCGACGAAAGCGCTCAAGACTAGCGCCAAAGCTGCTCGTGAGAAGGACGTTCTGGCGCTTTCTGGGGTATTTAAGCAAAGCTTGATGGGAGCCCTGAAGTTGCACAGGTGTCGGATCCTTAATACAGGTAGCATCTAGAGTTGAAGACTATATATGCACTCTGTAAACGGATAAATGGCCGCCGTACCCAAACCTCTTTGTGCTGTGAGGTTAATGAAGAGCTACAAAAGATACAGTAGCTGGACAAATTTATGGATTTCTGACTGTTAACAGTTATTTACTGGTCTCAGTATCCATTCAAACAGTTCGAAAGAAAATATCGTGAAGTCACATAAAAAAACGTATGATATAATATTGACTGATATCGTCTAGTACGACACGATCCCTGGATGTTATACATGTAATGACTTACCTTTCGCATACTAGTTGTAGTGTCGAAATCCAGAACAAGGACCTCATCCGCTGTTTCCAGTGATTCCTCCGAGGCCGCACTACCCACCGACTCACTTTCATCATCTGAGGACTGAACAAAAAGGTATTGGTAGTGTATGTGAAATTTCCAATGGATCTTATTGTGATTTAATTATTTATTCTGATTATACACTAACGGTCGATGTAACATCCAATTCGCATAATCAAAGTGTTCAGCGTGGAAATTGCGCTTACAAAATTAAAAAAAAATAGAACTAGTTTATCTATTACTCGTAAAGAATGACAACACTCACGGCATCGGAGTCCTTTGTTGACCCCGCCACGGAGCTTTCCAGAATGACAGCCTTCTCGAGACTTTTTGCGATAGATGGTTGTCGTGCCCTAGGAAGGATCACCGGCTTCTCGACAACGACGACATCACCATCACTGTCTGGATGAGAACTTTTATCGAAGCAAGAAAATATGCATTCCTTAGGACCAGATTTTCTCTTACCACTTGAAAATCATTTACTCTGAACTTAGTGTAGTCGTTGACTAACAAACTTCACACAGTCATTTTTTAGATAAACAAACGCACCGCCAGAATCATCCCAATTCCCTGACATATCCTAACTGTTTGCCCGTCTGTTGAGATGTGAAATACCTGAATTCATGAGTAACTTCTTCTATAACAAATAATCTATTATAATTGCACAAAACGCAGAAAGAGGAATGACTATCTGCAAATAAAGTGCGGAAAGCCCGCGGCCTAAGACGACTCAAGATTTCAAGCTTGTTGGAGGACATTAACGCTAGAGTTCTTACGAATTCAGATGCGAACTTCAACAAAAATATGCAAACCAACAGCCAGGCTATGCTTGCCCAAGTTTTAGGGAAAACGAATCCAATGTTCATCATTGAACAACAAGGCTTACAAATAAACGGCGCTAGAGCAGATTTAGCCGCAGAGCACCCCAAATGATGAATGGAGCGTCAGAATTCGCTGCAGGTCAATAAACTTCATTCACTCTAACTCAAGTGTTCAAACTGTGTTGTCACATGGTTTCTCAATGTGATAAAGGTTTGATAGTTGTTTGTACTTGGGTGCTGCACCAGAACGGACTGTTGTTTATAGTCAACTTTCTTCTAAAAACCAAAGTAGAAGGACTGATCCTCCAGAAATTAGTAGATATCTACCGACATCCATTTTGCCCATAGCTAAAACTAACTGACTAACCCAACCTGCTCAAGCTCCTGGTTGGACGATTTCCTTGACGCATTCATTGTACATAAAATCTACAATTGTGCCTGCGCGACCCAATCAATCTCCTTCATTGAGGAAATATGCACTTTGAGATAACTAGAGTACATATTGTAAAACCAAAGTGCATGTCTCAACAGTCGTTTTTTTCTTCTCGTCCTCTAATCTTCGGCGCTCCACTGCAAACGATGACGATGCTCATCGAACTTTCATCGAGTTTTTGACATTCTCTATCAAGCTAAATTTCTGCTGACCTGGCCTTTGCAAAAGAAACAAATGATGCATCAAACATTGATTGAAAAGCTTCTGGTGGGATGACTCACGTGTCATTGCGCCGTAAAGTCTGTCCACTTTTAATCATCATTCTTCGTTCCGTTTTATCAATTCTAGACTAAAGGAGTCTTTTGCACCTTTCCCAGCTTCCAGCTAAGCCTTTCTCCTAGGCTAATCACCTATACTTTATCAGAATGTTGTTGCAAAGTTTAGCATTGATTCATCGTTTCTAATGATAATCTCTTTTTTCTCCCTTTATCTCTGATACTTTTACCAATACATTCAGTGTCGTTACTAATCATTACCTATTGGAAATTCACAGTCAATATATAAACTACTGCTGTTTCGTGTGGATTTCCTGAATCTACCCGAAACAGCAGTAGTTTATTATTGACCGATTGTGTATTGTGATAGTGTTTAGTAAGCAGGATTGGCGGCAGATAGCATCTTTTGTCGATGACGGATTGTAGAATAATGCAGTACAGTAATTTGGGGGCCCTTATATACATCTAAGGCCCCGGACAGACTTCACGCGACTTAATCGCCGCGATCTAATCGCCAAGATTTCCATTCATTATCATTTTACATTCAAAAATTTCGGCGTGGAAAAGTATCACAACCGAATGCAAGTTGATCGGCATGGAATGATGTTGTAACAGTTGTCTCGTCGCGATTCAGTCGCGACGATCAAATCGCGCGAAGTCTGCCCGGGGCCTAAGGAGCCAGGCACAGAAGATACTGGAACAACCTCGTGAGGTCGAAGCAGGCGGAGAGATTGTGAAAGTTCGAGTTTCGAAATGTTCGAGCCAACATAAAGGGGATGGTTGATAACGGTGGAACTTTCCAAAGCAAGAGATATACAGGGGCTTTCAATCTGAGTGTCACGGTCGACGGTTGGTTCAGATCCTCGCAAGCCGCCCGCTTGGGTCTCTCACGTGGCACACTACCACTATGACCAGATCGGACACAGGTTCGATCCCCGCCCCTGGGCCAACCAAGCCCTCTACCCACCGGGGCCGGTAATTGGGGGAGACGGTCAAGAGGCGCGATTTTTCCGGCTATCACCAACTCAGACTCCAGTTTGGTGCTGTGCGAGTCTTTAAAAAGTACCAGATAAAATGCTTTGGCTTAAAAAATCGCGCCTCTTGACATATACCCGGTAATTGGTACCAGAGTAATCTGGGAGGATAAAAGCACTGACTTGGAAACGGCTGGCCCCCGCAAGTTCACTGTAATAGGCTTGCACGCATACAATTGCCTCCTCGACTATGAAGTTAGTGTGTGCGTTCGGCGCATGCCCTCAGAGGGTATTGAAGACGCCGAATTCTTTATCCTTTTTTTACGAGTGACCCAAGCGAGGCGGCTCGCGAGGATCTGAACCACGTCGACCGTGACACTCAGATGAAAGTCCCTGTACAATTAGCAACAATTGATATAATTAATTCGTTCCGAGAGTAGAACAGCTGATAACGAACGTAGATACGAATCAGCGTTTCAAGGTGCATTTACTGGTATACATCTCACTGCAAAAGGTCAAGGTCACCATATCCACCCCTTGTCAGTACAGGTTACTGTATGATGAAGGCGCAGTACAGTACATAATCGACCCGCTTTAGGCGAGAACGGATTGGCGGGCGTCCGCCGCGCAACGCTCGCGCCGTTTCGCAGCTACGGTATGTCATGTCGTGCTGAGAAAGGGGTCTGCTCTTCATTCTCCTCAGTCTTTGCTTAGCAAAATGCCATCGCTATGCGCTCAAGTCTCCAGCGGTGCGCCCGCGCCTAATCGGGGAAACCGAATGGCACGAACGTGGCTTTATTGGCCGCAGAGCGTATGAAGCGCAGGACTTACAACGGTGTAGATATCATGCATCCCTCAGAATTGTTCCCATATAAAATCAACATGGCTGCCTTCCGATCGTTTCAGCACGTTGGCTCCAGCAAATTCAAGGCGCATATTCGAAGCTGACATGTTAAAATGGATCGAAAGGCAGCCACTGCGCGCGCCGAGTTGCGCCGCTCAAAGGCAGCGTCTAGGCAAGTCTGGACGAATAGGGATCTCACGTGGATAGTAATTTTGGACGCCCTAACTAAGCCACTGCCCAACCGGCAGCTCAGGTAGTGCTCTAACGGCTGAGATATTCCCCTCGAAACTAGACCTCAGGTTCGCATGGTTTCTTGACGCAAGAGTGGGTCCGCGCGATATGAATCATGCGAATACAATCTTGGAGTCCAGTTTGGAGGTGTATATCTCAGTCGTTAGTGACTCACCTGCGCTGCCGCTTGGGCAGTGCCTTAGTTATGTCCCAAAATTACTTCCACGTAAAATCCCCATAGGTCCAGATCTACCTGGACGTGCCTTTAACTAATACTGCTTCTGCGCCTTCGTGCTGCACTACCCCTCTAGCTTCAGAATTGGCTGTGGCATCTGCGCAAATGCTTGTGCTGTTATGGGATCACATACCTCTGAGAAGACTCCTTGTCGGTTCAGGATCCACACGAAAGAGCAGCAGTTTATATATTGACCGATTGTGTATTGTAATAAGCAGCGTTTGGTAGGAGGATTGGCGGCAGATAGCAGTACTTCTGTCGATGACTGATTGTGGTGATGACAGTCATTAATTTGGGAGACCCTTATATACATCTAAGGAGCCTGGCACAGAAGATTCTTGAACAACCTCGTGAGGGCGAGGCAGACGGAGAGGGGGTAAAAGATTTTTGAAATGTTTGAGGCAACAGACAATAGGGAAGGTTAAAAAACGGTGGAACTTTCCAGAACGAGAGAGAGTTACAGTTAATAACAACTGATATGGGCAGCTAAGTATGTGTCAGCAGAGATTTGTTGCTCCATAATGCTGATAATATCACAGTTTCGCAAGTGGCATGATGAAATTCGTTATCTGCACCTCATCTGCATCGTTTTTCGCCGTGATGGAATCGTCACTGACTCCTGGGAACCTTCTTGAACGATGCGGAATGTTTGGCTCCCACTTTAACTCGCTTTTAGTCGTTTTTCGAGTTCAGCATAACCTTAAGGGTTAGGGTCTCGTCGGCCTTCGGTAGAAAAATGCCCAAAAATGTCACAAAGCACCAAGCATCGGATGGAAGCACTAGGAGGCTCCTTCGGCGTAATTTGTAGCCCTCGAGCCTCAGAATTAAGACGTAGCGTTTACGCCTTCGGCAGGGTTAACGGGACGAATTCCGAAATTTCGAAAGTTCTGACTCGATCACCTGACTCTTCTAGTGAAGCAAATTCGGTAGTGCTGAATCAGGGAATGTCTAAGCATCGTGAATTGCACACTTTTTCGTCCTCCTTCACGGTCTTGTCAACAGTAGATATCTGAAATGCAGCAAATACTTTGCAAACATAATGAAGCAGCACTTCTGCATTGATTTCGTAGTGTGAATGAGTCACTGCTATTTTTTATACCAGCAAGACAAGTTGCTGAACGTGACGGTAGATAACTTCGAACTTACCATCATCTTGCCAGGCACGTGTTGTTCTTATGATCATTTCCTTAACTTTCTGTATACTCAACGTGACCATCTCATCTCTTCATCGGCAGAACATTCTCTTTGCGACTTTTCATTAGCAGTGAATTATCAGGGAATTTATGAGTTGGTAATGTTACATTTGGCTTTCTTATCTTTGCACTAGTCATGCATTGGATCTACAAAAAGCATAACGTAATTCCAGGAGGCTGCACACCTCATGAAGGCGAGATGATTTCTCAGGATGGTGAAGAATATACAGTTGATTTCAGCAAGAAAATCGGAAGTGGAGCATATGGAAACGTAAGATCTTTGTGGTTCTTTGTTGCTTGGTTTGCTTGCTTTTATAATTTTTGATGTTTTTTGTTGCTCTGTCCGCTTGCTTTTATAATTTTCGATGTCTTTTTGCTTATCATATCATTTCTTCCTTGTTATCTCGCAACATATAGGATCCTGGATTGTAACTTATGCGATTTAGAAGAGCTCAGTAATGTTAGGATAGGTAAGCAGGCACGATGAGAATTCAGAAGCAACAGCTTCAAAAAAATTTGTTGGTGCTTACTTGGCGCAAAATCTCAGATTTGTTGATTTGTTAAGACTTTGTTCAGAGCGGTTATGTGGCATACTCGTTAGATTGCTGCGTTGATTTCGCATGTGATTCTTATTTTAGATTACGGTGGACCTACTGTAGATGAGACATAGTCAGATTTGCTGATTTGGTCTGTGCGGGTTCAGCTTGCTAGCGATAGTGATATCGTTAGCGTCTTTGAGAATGCTAGGTAGTACGGTAACCTTCCGAACTGCTCAACAGAAAACTTTCCAGCAGACAGCTGATATTACTGTGGTAATCGTGTGGAGACCTTGACAAAGTTTCGGGCAAATTTGAATTTCGACCCGCTTACCGTATACCTTCGTGACCCCATGAACTGGCTAAAATATGAGTACAGCGATATTGGTGATCAGCACCAAAGCCCACCTCCGAGCAAAATCCCAGCGGAAAGAATTTGTTTTGGGTAGCTATTGTGGAGCGTTGTTAGTTTTTGGTTGGTAACTACTGTACATTTGATGCTTCAGGTACACGTAGGAAGAGCGTCATCTGGTAGGACCGTTGCAGTGAAGTGTGCTCGAGATGCCAAAGAGATCCAGGCAGCACGCAAAGAAGTTGAGTTCTATCGAAGATGCGCTGGTGCTCCTAATATAGTAAAAGTTGGTTTCATGTGCATTTCATTTCAACTAACTAAGCTGTTATGGTGTTCCAGTATGTCGGCAGCCGGTATAGGGAGGCGACCGATCACTCTCCAGAGAGATTTTCATTTGCTATGGAACGAGCCTTGTTTTCTTTGGATAGACTCATGAAGCAGATCCGATATCTGCAGGGACTTCCGAAAGACATATTGATAGATCTTTTAGTGGATTCGAGTATGCTTAAACGTTTATTGTTATCTAACTATCTTATCATAATTTATTCATCTCAGCTTCTGCTTTGAATACTCTGAAAAGTCGAGGAATTGCTCATCGCGACATCAAGCATCTTAACATCCTGGTGTTTCCAGGTCCTCGGAGAGGACGAAAGTCAGTTCGTTTCTGTCCTTTCTTGCTTGTTTTACCCGGAATGGTCAGATTTTAGATCGCAGTATCTATTCAAACTTTGTGATATGGGAGTCTCAAGCTTTGTACATGAGGATGGTTTGATGCAAACTCTAGTCGGCACTCCGCATGCGCTGGTCAGGTTGCACTTTGATTCATGATTTGTGTTGTTGCGTAGTGTATGTCATTGAAAGATAAGGAGGCATAAAAGCGAATATACAGCAGCGCAAAACTTCGAGATGAACCACTCGTTCGGAATGCTTCATGTCTGATTTCAGTGCCCAGTGATGGCAGATGCTCATGCTCATAGACAAACTAGGACTCGCGACTCTTATACCGGTTCACAATGTGACTTGTGGTCACTTGGTTGTACATTCTATTTTGTTTCTACGGGAAAATATCCATTTCCAATGGATTCCAAAGATAGCAAAGTCTACGCCGAAGCAGTAGCCGAATCTAAGCGGCCTGAGGGTGGGGGTTTCGCAGTAATGGTCACTGAGCTTTGAATACATGTATACATTACAGGTGCCATATCGGCGGAAGTAACGGATACGCGTTACAAGTACAGTTACGGTTACACTATCCCAAATCTTTCTTATCCTAAGTAAGTATGTGTTCTTTTTCACATCTATAAAGCATATGACATGAAAATTTCTCGAAAGCTCAGCACAGGTAGTTTGTGTGCACTTGCAGATTCCGTTTTCTTAAAATTCAAACAAATGCTTGATTGCAAAAAATTTTTGTTTGCTTTTCCCAAGGTTTGCATAAAGCCCAACCTATTACAGATGGTTCCGCCACTGTCTTGCCAAGCTGATCGCGACATTATTCAGCAAGGAGCCTACGCTAGCATCTCTTGACGGCATGGTTTCAGCATTGCAAAACTGCGTCGAAAAGAAGTATATTTCCATAGAAACAATGGACATCTACTCTTACTCCAATCTAGAAAAGATATCACAGTTCAGGTAATCGAGTATTTCCAATTTTTTTTTCACTTCGACATTATCTAAACTCGAACAAGTGGTCGAATCTACGTAGAGCGCGGCGTCTGTGTCATGCGCATTCCCCGTCCAGCTGTAGACCATTCTTTTCTGCATGTTCGATCCATTAAAGAAAAGGCTAGGCATATTTCAGTGACGGGTATCCGAGTTTACATGAGGAACTGTGTCTGAAAAATGGTGTTGAGTACCGCTTACTGTATGAGAACGAGTTGAGCGTTTTATCTGGCGACTCTGTTGGAAAGAAATGCCACCAGTTTCCACCTATATTATTCCCGCTTCTTACTGATATACCATGGACGCCGAAAATCTGGTGGCGAACTGTTCAGGACAACAAAGGCAAGATCGCTTTACTCTCAAAACTCAATGACCATCACATTTTTTCAGAACTGCGCATGAATGGAGCGCAATCATCACGATCATTCCGCTTTTCGATGCATTCGCAAGTTGGGGAAGCCCTATGGGATTGCGATAAAATACTCGAGGTCGTTGATAAATCAAAGAGTATCCTTTGTATGCATTTAGAGAAGGTGTGTGGGCTTCTTTTGTTTTTCATCCTGACGATATACATATGTTCTATTTTTGTGCAGATCAAGAGCGAGCTCGAAGGTGCTCGTGAACAAACGCAGATGCCCATACGATTCACAATATATGCGAAAAAGCAATCATTTGCTCTGCTACCGTTCATGAACGAAACCACAGACAAGGTACTGCTTCACATTTGAGTAAACCTTAATCTCTTATGTAAGGGCTTCTGGAGGGATTTTCTGACCCCTAGGACAGATTATTCTTCTCAGAAGTTGCTAAATTCGAGGTTTCAAGGTAATAATGAAGAGCGTATGCGAAATGGCTGACCGTGCAACAAAAGAGCTGGAAAATTGCATAGGTAAGAAATTTGCCTAGACTCCCTACAAATTTTGTTAAGTTGGACTTTGAAAACAAGTACACCTATTGCCTTTTCGCACTGAAAGATTAGTCTTGCTAATTGGACTGATGGTTGTCCTCGCAACTTGTTACATATTACAGCTTTTTTGAATGAGTCCCTGAACTCTGCATCAGTATGCTTGTCTGAGCTGGAATCGATTGCCTTGGAAGCTACCGAAATCCCGGGAGTAGAAGGTCAGCCTACTTTCTGTTTTCAAAGTCACACATACAGATCAAATTTAGAGGAGCTGAATGATATTTTGAATGAAGATCCATCCTTTGAAGTCTTTTCGTACGAAAAAAGTTTGGCCAGTCAGTGCATTGCGCGCAGAGCTGATTTAGCGGCTCAGCTTTGTAATAACACCAAAAGTTCTGTCGTGCGTGTGCTGCTGAGGACAGCCCGGTAATAATCTTGTACGCTTGCTTGTAGCAGAATTGTTGATTGTTTTGTTTCAGGTTTGTTGTGGACATCTCAGTAGAGATGGCAAAATATCGCAATTACATTGATGATTACATTGCATTGATAGAAAGACCTTTTCAGGAAATGAAGGTAAGTTTATGCAATAGATAGTTAGGTTTTTTTAATAGGTTTTCCTTAGATTTGAGGTTTGGAATTAGTCTACCACGTTTTTGGTCTAATATGAAACTAAGTTTCGCTTCCTTTTTAGCGCTGTGTAGAAAGAATGCAGGCCGAACACAATTTAGATGATCGCAGTTTCCAGAAGGCTCTACGATACTATGAACGACCAGCTAAGTAAGTTACGCTTTACTCATCGGCTGTATTGTCATTTTTTGTTCCTATTTGTTCCAGCATTGTGGCTCAGGCGCGCTTGATTCGCGAGAAAGTTTCGCAGGTATTTGATATGCTACAACAAGTGGATGGATCCAAGTAAATATGTCCACGTCGGAATTTGAAGACAACCTTTAGTTAATTGTCTTCATTTTGAATGTTGCACCTTTTTTTGCATTTTGAACCATATTGTTCCAAGCTTTTTCAATCATGGGTTTGACCCAGCTTGCTTGTAGTCTCTACTTAGCCCCGTTATGTTACTATGTCTTATTCCGGTGTGTCTGAGCCCCGGTTCTGTTATCATGTCATAATTTGTGACTCACAAGTGCCATAAACGTGTTAGCACAATGAGAATTGCTAGAAGTTGCTAGTTTGTTATAATGAATTTGAGTTAAATGTACAGTTGTATAAAAATGTTGAATAAATGTACAGTATGTGAATAATGTTGCTGTGGAAGTCGTTTGTCGCGTTATCTCATTTCTTTTCATGCTGCATTGATCATACTTTGATACAGTGGCGTACCCAGGATTTCGGCTCGGGGGGGGGGCGACAAAAAATTTTTTCTAATGAAGGTGCGTGGCGTTAGCCACGCACTCCGAAAAAATTTCCGGGGTGCTTCTCAAAATTTTTGCGGGTCCCCGACCCCTAAAATCTGAAAAAGGGGCGTGGCGTCAGCCACGCCCCCGAAAAAAATTTTTTTTATAAGGCTAAAATGAACTTTTTAAAAATTTTAAAAATTATTTTAATTATTTACAAGTGTAAACAAGTCATTTGCACAATTTTATAACCCATGTAAGTAACTTTCAAAATTTCGCGACCCGTCCTCGGTACGCCACTGCTTTGATATTTTATCTAAAGACATGCTTGGACTGTGATGATGTCGTAATGTTTGAGAAATCTCTTCCTTAAAGGCATTGTCAAAGCAGATTAGAGTTACTGGATTCGAGGATAGCCTAGTGGATCTGTCGGTTTGACTGCCCCGATGCCCACAGCAATTGCGCGTAACAGCTTGCATTTTCATTAATTTCCGCGTGTCCAAGGGCGAGAGTTCACACCAGGTTTGCGCCCTCAGATGATCCGTTTAAGCGCAAATGTAATCGGTACTGGAGGCACTATATGAGACGTCGACACTATCAACTCTATAGATATTTAAGAGACCTTAGAGGCACCGTCCACCCAAAATTTCGACCTCCATGTTTTTGCCTCCCAGGGCCTCCTCACACCCCTGATTCCGAATATCAAGTTGAAAATCCGCAAAAACCTCGAAAAAACCCCGTTTTCAGAACCCGCAGAGCGATTTCTTCGGTACGATGATTGGTTGGGCGCGCACGGATGGGCGGGACGAACGTCACGCCCACTCTGAAGGGGGAGGAGCCAGCGTCGCGAACGCGGCTTGAAGCGATTTCTGAAGCAATTTTCTCGGTTCGGAAGCAACTTCAGGCAGCGCGAGTTGGGAAGTTATACAGTTGGGGGCTCCGCATCTGCTAGGTATCATAATCTCACCAACCCCAGTTTGGGTGGACGGTGCCTTTAAGCTATTGTACAAGCACTGGCCCTTACGAGCTATTCGTTTGTGGCAAACAGGGCCCGGCACGAGGTGGGCAGACGGGGTTTTCTAAATCGAATTCTCCTTTGACCCCAACAGTTTTTACGAATACCCCCTTGAGCCCAAAAATGACGCTTTGTGCTTGTGGAACGAGAGCACCGGCCACACTTCGCCTAAAAGCGTTCAAAAGCGCCCAAAGTGCTCAAATTCCTCTAATTACTCCTCAACTGTATCAAGATAGAAAACAGGAAGAAGAATAAGCAAGGAAAATGATGAAGGAATGAAAAAATATCAAAGAAACGCAGTCATAGGACTGAGAGACGCCGTTCACGCGCGTATCGATTGACGGGGCGCGCTTTCCATCTTAGAAAGCTAGGCTGCTGATGCGATTTTGGGCTCCAACAAAGACAAGAGGAGGAGTTTCGGAACCAAAATCTCACCATATAGTAAACCTTAGGTGAACAACAGATTTATGTAAAAATTTTGAAAAAATTATGTGAATTGAAAGTTTTACCCACCTCAGGTGGGCATTAGGTGGGCAATTGCCCACCTAATTTGGAGAAAAGTTAAGCACGCTCTTCATTCACACAAGTACACAAGTTTTTCGTAATTTTTCATACATTGTTCCTTAGTCCTACTGCGCGTATACACACCAAGTCTCGCGCGATTTCGTTTTCTCTGCGCTGCAAACGAGCCATTTTTCCATTTTCTTGATAGTGGGAAATTTTCAGAAAAAAGCTTGCCACAACCTTCATTCACATGATTTTTCAATAAAACTTCTAAGATAAGCCCTGCAGGTCCGTGTCCATGTACAGGGCTTTACAACCTGAGTGTCCCACCCGCCCCGCTAGGACGCCACGCTTAGGTCCGCGCAGCGTTCGTGGCGCTGGCTGCGCGTCGACTGAAGCTTGGCGAAATCCGGGCGATACACAGCAAACGCCGCGCGCGGCCTGAGCGAGGCGGCCGCGTTGGAGGAGCCGCGCAAGCGAAACTTGCGACTCTCAGGTTGAAAAGCCCTGTACCTACAAAGTTTCATACTTTTGGTTCTATGCGCTGCAAGCGAGCCATTTGAATTCACATCTTCATTTACCAGTTTTGCGAAATTTTTGGGAAAAATGCTTATTACACCTCCCATTCACATAAGTTTTTCATAACATTTCATGCCTTGTTTCTACTAGCCTCTCTTTGTTCGCTTACATAATTTGGTGCTATATCATTACGCCTGCATTGAGAACTGATCATAGATGTGTAAGGTAAGCATGATTCGACCTTCTTTTGCTTGCACTTGGAATCTTCTTGGGCTCCTCGAATCCCGCAAAAACGATATCCGCTTTGATTTTTGGCCCCAAAACGATTTCCAGCTTGTCATTTGCCCACCTCGTGCGGGCCCTGTTGGCAAAGAAACAACTTTGAAACTCTGCGTGGGCCGTACGGGAGAAAACTAATATGTTTTTAGTGTCTTGGCACGAGTGCATGTGAGCCGCCTTGACCATGGTTTAGTCAGGCCGGGCATAGTTCAAGCGATTTCATCGATTAGCAATTTCATCCTTCGCGGTAATATGACAACAAGACAACTTCGCGAGTCCATTGCCATGCAATGAACTCGTAACAGTAGTCTGTCGAAAGAGCGCGGCGAAGAAATCTCGTGAACTAGGCCCGAGGCCTTGAAGGCAGCGGCTCGACAGAATGACAACTTTGGAATATCCATCGTTCTCGGTCCCCTGGATGAGCTAAGTCCAAGACTGTGCTTTGCAGCTTCAAAAGATATCAATAACCAGCTTTTCCAGACTTGAAAAGTGCTATCTGGGCGGACCGCGTAAGCCCGCGCTCTAGAGAGCATTGGCTCATGAGTACGGTGGGTGCGGTATCTTCATTCATGAACCAATCGCGCTCTAGAGCGCAGGTTTACGCGATCCGCCCAAATAGCGCTTTACACGTCTGGAAAACCGGGTTATTGACATCTTTTGTTGGACTTAGCTCATCCAGGGGAACCGAGAACGATGGATATTCCAAAATTGTCAATCTGCCGAGCCGCTGCCTTTAAGGGGGTTGAGGAACGAACACCTCAATTAGGCCTCGCGTCCGCGGGCAGCTGGTCCTTTCGTCGTACTGTTATGCATCGTGCTAGGACCAGTAGACCGCGGAGGCGGTGCCTAATTGAGGTGTTCGTTCCTCCACCCCCTTTAAGGTCTTTCAGCCAGCCATATACAAGGAAAGGGAAGACTTTCATTGCAGCTTTTAAGCAAACTTTGTTCCCTCTTAAACCTTTAACTTCACAAAAAGTGTTTTGAACTGCTGGCCTACGTCTATTTCGTGTCTCTTATTCTAAACTAGCTGGCTTACCCGGCTCCGCCGTATCCGGACCAAACTTGGCACACATACACTTCGGGCCCCGGCGGGTGTCACAGTCCACTTTTCGTTATCGATCGATGTCGATTTTACCGATTTTTATCGATTTTTTGGCAGAGTTCACCTACAGGGCTAGGAGTTGGCACAGGGGGGAAGTGAGCATGGGGATTCCGAATACAATATTAGTTTTCAGAATTATCGATTGCTTTTATTGATTTTATCGATTTTTTGGCAGAGTTCACCTACAGGGCTAGGAGTTGGCACAGGGGGAAGTGAGCATGGGGATTCCGAATACATTATTAGTTTTCAGGATCGTCCATTACTTTTATCGATTTTATCGATTTTTTTGCAAAGTTTGACCTGCGGGGCTGGGAGTTTGCACAGAGGGTAATCGAGCATGCAGATTACGAATACAATATTAGTTTTCAAGATCGTCCATTACTTTTATCGATTTTATCGATTTTTTGAAAATTTGAGCTAGGGGGCTGGAATTTGGCACAGGGGTGTTCGAGCATGCTGATCACCCCCCTTGGGGATGATCAGCATGCTCGATTACCCCCCTGTGCCAACTCCCAGCCCCCTAGCTCAAACTTTGCAAAAAAATCGATAAAATCGATAAAAGTAATCGATAATCCTGAAAACCAATATTGTATTCGGAATCCCCATGCTCGATTACCCCCCTGTGCGAACTCCCAGCCCCGTAGCTCAAACTTTGCAAAAAAATCGATAAAATCGATAAAAGTAATCGATAATCCTGAAAACCAATATTGTATTCGGAATCCCCATGCTCGATTACCCCCCTGTGCCAACTCCCAGCCCCGTAGCTCAAACTTTGCAAAAAAATCGATAAAATCGATAAAAGTAATCGATAATCCTGAAAACCAATATTGTATTCGGAATCCCCATGCTCGATTACCCCCCTGTGCCAACTCCCAGCCCCGTAGGTGAACTCAGCAAAAAAATCGATAAAAATCGATAAAATCGATATCGATCGATGACGAAAAGTAGCCTATGACACCCGCCGGGGCCCGAAGTGTATGTGTGCCAAGTTTGGTCCGGATCGGTTCAGAAATGGAATTTTCTATTCGGAACATACGTACATACATACAGACAGACAGACAAACAGACATTCAGCTTTATATATAAGATTGCTGAAGAAGAAAATCAGCTAGTAAGTGATGAAATTTGCAAAGCATAAGGAACGAGGCCAACAACAATTTCATTTTACAAGCAGATCAGAACGGACCACAAACAACAATTACCAAAGACGAAAATATTAGCTTAGGAGGCAGTGCAGGAGGCAATGCACCTCAAAAGTAAAAAGATTTTTTCCTCAGATAGTTGGAGCGTGCGGCGCACGCGCGTTTATGGTCAATGCGGCAAAGCGGTGCATTATTTGTGGGCGTGTCCGGCACTACGCCAAACGCGTGCCATCCTAGACATTTGGTGCGTGCGACGCGCGTATTAAAGGCAGCGTCCAGGCAGATCTGGACCTATGGGGCTTTTACGTGGAAAGTACTTTGGGGCCCTAACTAAGGCACTGCCCAAGTGGCAGCTCAGGTGGTGCTCTATGGCTGAGATATTCCCCTCGAAACTGGCCCCCGCGAACGTATTCGCATGGATTCATGGCAGTTTCGCGCCAGGATCCACGCTTTGCGCCATGAATCCATGCGAAACACGGTCGCGGGGGCCAGTTTCGAGGGCAATATCTCAGCCATGAGAGCACTACCTGAGCTGCCACTTGGGCAGTGCCTTAGCTAGGGCCCCAAAAGTACTTTTCACGTAAAAGCCCCATAGGTCCAGATCTGCCTGGACGCTGCCTTTAATGGCCAACACCGTGACCCGCACGCTACGTTTATGTTCGATCTCGCCGCGCGCCTAATTTTGTACCACGCCGCGCGCGTGCCTTTATACTCTACCCGTGCGGCCAGCGCGTCTGCAATTATCACATGCTGTAAGCACAAGGGGTAGGGGTACGAAAGCCGCCGACTTGGACCGCCTCCGCGGGCTGCTGGTCCTGGAACCACACTCAACAACGTTGGGAAAGGACCAACTGTCCGCGAAAAGCGGCTCAACCTGGCGGCTTTCGTTCCCTCACCCAAGCACAAGGGATACCCGCGCAGTGTACGACGCAGTGGTCAGAGTGCCTCATCATTCAAAATGTTAGATATCACATCGTAGTGTATGAATAGTCGTAGAAGTGGAAGTTGTTTTTTGCTTCCAAGCGTTAGCCTTCGGTAGCATCGGCAATGGATGCTGAACCTGAATTCTTGGATCCAAATACGAATTCATATTCTTTGGCGTATGAAGAGTGGAATTCACTATCAAGACCTGTTGCATACAGCGCAATGAAAAACTGAAAAAATGCAGCCATCCGCGGGCCAACACCAGCGGCGCGGCATCCAATGTCCCGCCACCCGCGCACTGGGTGTTGCGCCACCGTGTGACTGCGCGCGCGCTGCCCGCTCCAACTGTCTGAGTCCGGTCACAGCAAAGTCGTTGTCGGTTGGTGATAACTTCTGACGGCTAGTCATAGTGAACTAATGACATTTCTCAATATGGTAGAGAGCATTGCAGACGCTTGAACATTGCTTTTCAAAATTTTGCCTGATTGAGTCGATGATAAACATTAGCCATTTTTCAAAGTCAAGTTTGTAAATGGTGGTATGAATGTTTGGTTATCCAACCGCCTTCTCAGACAATCGGAGCGGGCAGCGCGCGCGCAGTCACACAGTGGCGCAACACGCACTGCGCGGGTGGCGGGACACTGGATGCCGCGCCGCTGGTGCTGGCCCGCGGATGGCTGCATTTTTTTCAGTTTTTCATTGCGCTGTATACCACAGGTCTTGATAATGAATTCCACTCTTCATACTCCAAAAAATATGAATTCATATCTGAGTCCAAAAATTCAGATCCAGCGTCCATTTGCAATGCTACCGAAGGCTAACGCTTGGAAGCGAAAAGCAACTTCCACTTCTACGACTATTCATACACTACGATGTAATATCTAACCTCTTGAATGATGAGGCAGCCTGACCACTGCGTCGTACACTGCGCGGGTATCCCTTGTGCTTACAGCATGTGATAATTGCAGGCGCGCGGGCCGCACGGGTAGAGTATAAAAACACGCGCGTGGCGTGCTACAAAATTAGGCGCGCGGGTGGCGAGATCGAACATAAACGTAGCGCGCGGGTCGCGGTTTTGGCCATTGATACGCGCGCCGCACGCACCAAATGTCTAGGATGGCACGCGTTTGGCGTAATGCCCGATACGCCCACAAATAAGGCACGCGCTTTGCCGCATTGACCATAAACGCGCGTGCGCCGCACGCTCCAACTATCTGAGTTGTTTGGACTTTACTGAAGGCTCTGGAATAGAGAGGAATTTTTTTCTTGGAAGGAAGTGCGCGAGGCAATAAGCACGCTGTGTGAGAATGAGTGGGTCTAGTGAGCAAACGTAACTTCGGAAAAAATCTGCGCCTAACGGAAATTCTCTAAAAATACCAAAAAATTCTTAGACTTTCAAGAATAAAAGCAAGTCATGTGCATGAGTTTTCATAGACTTTCTCACAAGTTTCGCAACCCCCCCCCCTCTGCACTTGGTACTCCTGTAGCAGCGTTTGCAGCTTTTTTTTGCCCCTTTTGACAAATGAGAAATGCACTCGATCTTCCCCAATGCATGTCCTTCAAGGTGCAGGTGATGGAAGGCACACACTATTCCTATCGGTAGAGGGATGGTTTCGCACTCGATTGCAATGTTAGAAATCTTACTTTTTCTGCTCCTGATCGGTAAATCATCTGAAACAAGGTAAATAGGATTTCGACTTTTCTTGTAGTTCACTCCTTTGCAATAAGTTGACGCATATATGCATTTTGTGCCTCTACATGTTTTAGTCGTAAGGAGTCTTTTCCTTTACATTTCCACTAAAGCTTCTCATGCTCTGAAATCGTATTACAGTTCAATGGAACACGTCAGGAAGCTGTTGCCAGTGTTAACTACCAGTCTGCGGAAGGTTTGTACAACTAAAGCTTATTACATGACATATGCAATTTCCATCATAAAATTCGGTTTGGACATTAGTTTGGAGCTTTTGAGAACGCTAAATATCAGGGTTCTTGCGGAAAAATCGCTGTGATTGGAGGGTCCGTGGAGTATACTGGTGCACCGTACTTTGCCGCAATATCAGCGCTGAAATTGGTAAGCCAATTTATATCATGTTAACCTTTGATTTTCCACCGTATAGATCACAGGCTCAAAGGCCTTTTCGGGCAAGAAGTTGATTTTGAGAATTTTGGGTTAACTGGGCCTATTCGTTATGCTGAACCCGAAAATCCTCACTGGGGAGCGCGAAAACGGTGAAGAGGGGCTTTAAGGCCTAAGGCCTAAGGCATACCTCACGCGATTTTAGTCGCCGCGCGATTTGGCACTGCAACGACTCTTCATAGCTGGTCGTAAACGCCCTTTGCTTGGGCCAGACTTGCTGCGTTTGTTACATACGGAATCTACGCACTTATGCATCTGAGAGCCTCGCATGCTCAATCGCTGGATATCTGGCAAATAGCCAAGTCGCGAGGATGTGGCGATTTTACGAAATTGCGAGAGGTATGCCCTAGGCCTAAGGCCGTGGGCATACCTCGCGCGATTTCAGTCGCCACATCTGGCAATTTGCCAGATGTCTTCAAATTCAGTACTGGCAGACCCCAAATGCATAGCATGTATAACTTTCGTAGGTTGATAGAATGCCCTATCTTCCGTACATCTAGCAACCCCTTACTATAAGTTATGAACAACTGGAGTAATGCCAAATCGCGGCTCGACTAAAATCACGTGAGGTATGCCAAGGGCCTAAGGCATACCTACCTCACCCGATTCCAGTCGCTGCACGATCTGGCACTGCAAGAACTCTTCATAATTATCCCTAAACGCAGTGTGCTTGGGCCAGACTTGAAAGTGCTGTGAAAACAAAAATGAAAGTGCTGTGAAAACAGACATCAAAATAATCAGACAGATAAGAAAGTGTTTGTGACCGTGGGCATTGAAGTAGTAGGTGAGATTAGGGGCGTTAAACGCTAACTAAATGTTTAGTCGATTCACAGAACTCCTCTGGAAAAATTATGCATGAAAAAATATAGATAAAAAAATCTGTAATCATTTTCTTTCAAAGAAGGTGCGACAAAAAGAGAGCAAACATAGCAATAAGGTGAGACCGAACAAGAATAATAGAGGCGAATTATGCTCTAAATCTAATTTTCTTGAATTACATACCCATTTGGAAGATTCAGTGCTCATAAGATTGATTGTAGTGGAAATGGCCAGCTATATAACATGCGAAAAAAGATAACTCCAAACTGTTTTTCAGAGCTGTACGTTTTTCAAAATTATCTGTAACTCGTCGTCCTGAGAAAATATTATCAGCTTTCATTCTGCTCTCACCTACCACATCTTCAATGAACACGATCGGAAGCACTTTCCATAGCATCTTCATTATTTTTTTTTTTGGGAATCATTTACTCGTCGCTTATGTAATTCCTTTCTGATTATGCCAGTAGAAACAAGAAGATTGCCCGGAGGGGAACAAATGCAGGAGTGTGCGAGATAGGTGCGACGTAGGCGCGAGGTAGGCGCGAAGTGATAATTACCTCCGCCGGGTGCGCCTGAAGAAGCGGCAGGCCTTTGGAGGATCCTGACACGCCGCCACTTGATACTTTTGCGAACACTTACAGAAGCTACGCGCCCATGCATTTGACACTCGCGCACCTGAACTGTAGACATCTGGCAAAACTCCAAGTCGCGTGTATGTAGCGATTTGAGGGAGTCGCGGGGAGTATGCCTTAGGCCCAACGTAGAGGGGGTTATTAGGTGGACGGAGTCTTCCACTCTGTGAAGTCGTCTCCCAGCCTCCGGAGCCATCTTTTCGCTTCCACTTACCGCCCTAATATTGCCTCCGGCGCAGCGCTAACGTGTTACTTGAAGTCGGAACCGAGAAGATCGCTTCGAGACTTGGGAGGATGACTTCACAAAGTGGAAGACCCCTCCCACCTGCTGACTTCTCTCTTGCGTTAGAGCTCTTCTTCGCCGTTTTCGTGCTCTCCAGTGTGGATTTTCGGATTCAGCATAGCAAATAAGTCCAGGCAAAAAATCTCAAAATCGACTTTTACCCGGACCATGCCTTTAGAATAATATGTATATCAAGAAGTATATTGCAGGGAGCGGATTTGGTATATGTTATGTGTGCTCCAGAAGCTGCGCCTGTTATCAAATCGTTCTCTCCTGAATTAATTGTTTATCCTGGTCTCGACCCTGATGCGGTCCTACCAGTAGGTCTGCTGTCACACCTTGGGTTAATATCTCTTATTGCCATTTAGAAACTTGAAAGAGTTGACGCTATAGTTCTGGGACCTGGCTTGGGTCGCAGTCCACATGTTGCGCCCCTATTTGATAAAGTTGTAGATTTTGTCATAAATAAAAACCTCCCTATGGTGATGGATGCGGTGAGTTATCATGTCCTCTACATTGTCAGGGCCAAGAATATATTATTTTATATTGCAGGACGGGTTGTGGTTCCTGAATGAGTCCATAAGTAAAGGTATAAAGCCCTTGCCTTCGGCAATCCTGACACCCAACATGGTCGAGTTTTCAAGATTGTGCGAATCTGCTCTAGGCGAAAAAGACGTTCTTAAAATAAAAGTGCGGTATATTCCATCCGAGAATTATGCAGCATGTCTACATCTTTATTGTAGGATCAGTCGAAACTAGAGGATCTGGCTTCACGCTTGAGTACTCGCCTAGGCACATCGCTGTTTGTTAAAGGGAAAGTGGATATCATTACAAATCCTGATGGAAAAGGTTCGAAGCTTTTTGTCAAACTAATGCCGGATGCTTATTTGTTTCTTCATCAATCACTTTTGGCATTTTATACTCTCCAAGTTCATACATTTCTCTACTTTTTGGCTATTAAATCAAATATAGGGGTGCTTTTTGTTAGTAAAGTCTTTCGAGGATCAGTTTTCCAGTATATCGACCCTCTTGTTGCAAGAAATTAGAAAGCAGCGTTCTTACGATTATGATAGCGCGCTACAAAAGTAATTTGTTAGAAGACGTGTGAAAAGAACTCGAGATACTAGGAACGTCTTTCAGTGATGTTCTTTGAAATCAGATAGAGATCCATTTAACTGCAAAGGTGTCGATAGAAAAGTGTCTTAAATACCCCCTCCGGATGGAAATCCTGGGACCGCCACTGGTATCCGGATCTCCTTTTTGTCATAATCTGTAAGCTTGATTTGTTAGAGAAAATTAACTAAGAAAAAGATGCCATGCTGTTTTTATCTCGTAAATCAATCTACACTTTTGACACTCAAAAAGTAAGGATGTAATTGTAAGGATATAAATACTTTTAACAACTACCATGTATCTACTGTAGTTCTGCAAAGAACTGTCATGTGACATGATTTCACTATACCGCCTACGTAAATTCAAGTAAATAGAACTGATAACGATTTTGTAAGCGCTAACGAATGGATTAGTTGCAACACAAGGATACATAGATACTTTAATCGCTGCATAGGCAACAGTATTCGGTTTGTTTAGTGACTGTGGGACAAGATGAGGGTTCTCCAAGAAGATGCGGAGGACAGGGTGATGTGTCAAGTGGTACACTTGCAATGTTTCTTCTCTGGGCAACAAGGTATTTTGCTGGTTTCTCCCTTTCTAGAATCTGCACTTTGAAGGTTTTCCTTGATTTACCTTCAAAAAAATTAGCCAGTTGGATGTCACCACATCGCTGTTGTAGGCAGTCAAGCGCAGAGGAAGCCAAAAATGCAGCTGGTCTTGCCTGCAGTGAACTTGTTCGTCGTCTCGCCAAAACAACCTACGGGAAAATGGGACGTTCAATGATCACTACTGATATGATCAATGAGTTGCCCGCACTTTTACGCGAGGTGGACGGAAAATAGAACTGGTATCTTGAATTACTACAAGGGAAGTGTATTTGCTCGAAGAAGTCTTTCTGAACGAGATCTACACCGTTATGGAGAATACTGAATGCTGATTTGCAATCCATCTTGATTATCTGCCATGCCCCTTTGGGTGCCGAATAAGCGTCTTTTGGCTCATAAATGGCAAATGGAACAGAATCAAATAGAAGCTCAAATGGGCTAGTGATGTTTATGAAGGTACTGACAATGAGTGCAATGTATTAGGTTCGAAAGTTCTGTCGTTTCATTTCTGAAAATTTGTAACTTTGCGCTGTTTCAACGGATTTGCTTGCCTGTAATTTCATTAGAAAGAATAAGTCTTTCTCTTTCAAACGCTTTCTTGCGGAGCTTCTGTTTCACATTGGGTGCGGAGATAAAAATGGAAAACTAAGACCATGTAATCTTTAACCATTTTAAGTTAGGTCACCAAAAATCTGGAATGCTGCAGAAAAATCTGAAATCATCAGTACATATGTTTTTTTGACCTATCCTTTGCATCTGTGAAAAAATTGTGCTGTTTGGACGTCTCTGTGAGAAGTTATGAATATCGAGTTTACTATGGAAAAGGCCAAAATTAATTGATTTGTCAATTTTCGCGAAAATCATAACTTCTCACAGAAACGTCCAAACAGCACAATTTTTTCACAGATGCAAAGGGTAGGTCAAAAAACATATGTACTGATGATTTCAGATTTTTCTGCAGCATTCCAGATTTTTGGTGACCTAACTTAAAATGGTCAAAGTTTACATGGTCTTAGTTTTCCATGTTTATCTCCGCACCCAATGTGAAACAGAAACTCCGCAAAACAGCGTTTGAAAGAGAAAGACTTATTCTTTCTAAAAAAATTACAGGCAAGCAAATCCGTTGAAACAGCGCAAAGTTACAAATTTTCAGAAATGAAACGACAGAACTTTCGGTACAACCTAATACTTTTGTTAAATCTCGTCGTTCACACACTGCTATATTTGTGCGCTGGAGGGACAGTAATGCTCTGATCTGGTTCCTGCGTCCATTATTCATTTCAGAAAAAGAAACGCTCATAACTCGCATCTAGATGCGCCCAGTAGATACCGAAAACGGAGTGGAATTAGCTTCAGTGCTCTTATAAATTGTAGGTTTTATCTAAAAGAAAAGAAATTGAAAGAAGGAATCTGTGTGGAAAGGCTACTTCGACGAAGATACTTTCCTTGTGAGAAATGTATTCATACTCGTAGTTGTACCTCGAACATTGCTCGTACTTCGTGTTTGTATTAAATTGCACTATTCGGAATTGAATTTGCTTGTACCTTGAATTTTGCAGTATAGATAAAATAGAAATTCTTTTTGAACTCATTTCATCCTATGGAAAAATTGTACTGTCTCCGCAGAACAACTTTGGTTCACAAATAAAGTGCGTTTACCTTCCGTTTCTTATCCTGTGTTTTAATCAATCAGTTTTGCAAAGAGGGAGAGTGACTCTCAATAGTAGAGTAGTTTGCGTCTGCTACTTTTGCTACAGAAGTCAGGATCAATTTTGCTGTATAACAAAAAGCGATGATCAGGTGAAACTTTCTTTAAAGCGAAGAAAAAACCATTAGAACTTCTAATGAGCTCTACATCAAGGTGGATTTAAATTTTTCCATATGCTTTTGAACCCAGGCACTCATAACTTCAAATCTTTCCAACCTTGACTTTATCTAAAATGAGAAGAAGAGTTACATTGTCTTATTCAAGCGCATGGTATCTGTAGCCAAGTTTCAAATTGCAGGCACTTGAAGTCGGATCCCATTTGTGATTTCAATTCTGATTTCATTTTTTTTAATTCTTTTATTTTTGTTTGTCTAGTATAAACCCACGTAAAGGTAAAAGGCAGATATTTTTGTGTTTTGGGCCTATATTGGTTTCTCGATAAGCCATATAAATGGTCATTCCGAAAGTAATTTCGCTTTTTTCAGAGAGGCGGCATTTTTTGGTAGCATTTGATTGAATGAAGATTTCTAACAGATTTTGGTAGCATTAGAACAAGCATTTCATCCTCTGTCTAATGGATGTGAAGTTGTTGCAGCACAGTCAATCAGCTTTCAGAAAATACCCAAAATCTGCGACACATGATTTATGATATGGTCAAGTTTCACAATTTTTCTAAACTTTTATGTCAAACTTCCGAAGGAGTTCAAGTAACGCGTAGATAGAGCAAACCTTATAGGATGCAAAACAATTTTTTTCTGCTTTCCATAGCCTATCATACTTTTTTAACAGAATTTTAACTGACGCTACCAATTTCCATACTTAGACAGCTAAATCCTCATAGAACATTAAAGGGAGAGCAGGGTACTATTCGATGCAGCTTTTTCTCCTCTTTCTAATAGATGTTTTCTGTTGCCGATTCGTTTACTCTTCAGGGACAAAATCATCATAAGTCATTTTTTTGAACGCGCGCCAGGCTGTACCTGAAAAAGCCGAAATTTGATATTTCGAAACCGTAAACTCTCACATGCTTTGTAAAATTAGTGCTAAATCATAATACCATCTTGGAAGTTTTAGATTCCGAAGATTTGTTGGTGTTTGATGCGAATGTGGATGACATAGGCCTGCCACAATCTGATGGTTTTGGTTAAAAATTTTTTAGAAAATTATGGCGGAGTAAGAAAAAAAGAAAAAAGTTTTAGTGCATCCTATAAGGTTTGCTCTATCTACTCGTTACTTGAGCTTCTTTGGAGAGTTGATATAAAATTTTAGAAAAATTGTGAAACTTGACCATCTCAAAAAGCACTAAAAGCTCATTGAATATGCTGCAACAGTTTCATGTCATTTAGATAGAGGATGAAACGCTGGTTCGAATGTTAGCTAGATCTCTTAGGAATCTTCATTCCATTGAATGTGGCGCCCCTCTGAAAAAAGCGAAATTACTTTCGGAATGACCTAATATCAGGTTGGCTTTAATAAATTTGGTCACTTTCTCGCTCTACAAATGCCGCAAACGAATATTTGTCCAGTGTTTGGTATCTCCGGAAAGAGCATTACACTTCAATGAGCATTAAAATGTAATCACTGTTTGAGTAGAATTTACATTTCTATGAAAAAAAAGGGCAAAGAAGTGAGAAACCCCAATTTTCTTGTTGTGCGCAAATGTGAGGTCAGATCCAAGCGTAAATAGAGAAAATTTGGATGTATGAAATATCAAAATACTCTTCTTTACATCTATCACAGCATGAAAACGAAGCTTAGAAACTCAAAGAATTGCATTATTGGGAATTCAGCTATTGGGGCATAACTGCCCTTCACTGATGATGTGATAGTTAAGCTTTGAATATCCCCTCCCAATAATCATAGATGAAAAACCAAGAAATTTTTTTTCTCGGAGGATTGCATGTAAAAACAAAGTTATTTTTTTAGCCAATCTGGTAAGTACAAAATTTATATCAATCTGCTGTGGACTGTCTGAGTACGAGCAAGTTCATGCTCCATAAAGTTTCTGGATGGAAAAGCTTCTATCGTGCGTAATTGGAAGTTTTAGATTTTGATTTCACTCCGTTCGGATTAGACTATGTGCAACTGTTCGTAGGCCATTATGAAGAATTGTTTTGCTCTGTGACTAACCTCTTGAGTCCTGATTTGAAAAAAAATAACAAAGCTCAGCACGATCCCACCAGCATGCAGATCAACTTACCGGGCCTCGCGCTATCTCAAAGGTGGGAAAACGCAACTTCGATGATAAACAAATACTACACCTGGTATGTGCGTACTAGTGAGGAAACTGATACAGGGCAAGTGAAGGGTTTTGGACGCATTCGACGTTTGTCTATATCTGCAGTGGTCTGGTTGGTCTTCATTCAATTCATTATATCCTAGCATCATCTCGTCAGTCTTCAAAAATGGGCGCAACAGCTTTTATTTCTTTTCGTTGGAAGAAGAAGTTGCCCCAAATGAAACGTATCATGCTTCATCATAGGTTGTGGTTGCTTCGACATGTGTGGTGCCAAAATTGGATGTAAACTTTTTTTTCAAGAAATTAGGTCAAGCACCAGGCTTGATTTTTGTATGCTTTATTATGTTCTTTGCATGCATATTACAACTCCGCTCGTAATTTGTGAAAAAAATTGGAGGCGGCCGCTCAACTTAGGCGGCGGCCACCGAAGTTAGGCGGCGGCCACCGAAGTTAGGTGACAAAGTTAGGCGGCGGGGGCCTAAGTTAGGCGTCCGCCGCCTAACTTTTTTAGAAATCGTCGAGATACCCTTATTCAAAGTTTATAAATTCAATACCTAAGAGTACTATTCAGGGCTCGGTACAGCTGGCACCGGATCAAGCTGGATATGGGTGCGAAATCAAAGAGGATATCGTTTTTCCGGGTCCGGGGCGGAGAAGAGCCGCAAGAATGCTGCCGGCATGCCACCGTCATGCTGTCCATCAAACAAACAAAGGCGTTGTTTTCACCAAAACGCAATAGTATGACACCAAATTTGATATGTGCATGCGCGTTGGGGGACCCGAACTATGGCCCAAAAATTTATGAAAAGCTTATGTGAATGAAAGCTGTGCTGAACTTTCTTCTGAATTAGCTGGCACCGTGCCAGCTGGGTGCCAGCTGAGCTGGCACCGACACTTTGCTCACATAAGTTTTCATACTTTTTTTCTACATAAAACGTATCTACACCGTAAAAGTTCACATACAGAGAAGAAACAATTTCATAATGTTTTCTTTTCAGCATTTTATAGCCATCTGAAAATTACTGGGTCTGCTCCGCAGTCGAAAAATCGGCTTTTTCTGCTTCTCAACATGTGATTCAACCACTTAAAAAGGACAGAAAGCTGTGAAAAGGTTGTTCCATGAAATCAGCATGCATGAAAACTACTACATGCTTTTACATAATCTAAAAATGATGACGGGTCCTCAAAACAGGTCAAAGGGGTCTTCGCGCGAAATTTTCAACATCAAACGGGACTTCGTTTTGAAATTTCCCTGGTGCCAGCTCGTGCCGAGCCCTGGTACCATTCAACTCAGCTCGGCGAGGCACATCTTCCAATATATAGATGTGTCACAATCTACAGGATATAGGACGTTAGTTTTCACAAAACAGACTTACGGTGGTGGGTTTAGTTTTCCTTCCTTTTTCCTTTCTTTTTTCCTTTTTTCCCGGGTACTACCGATGGGGTTTACACAAGTAGTCACTGGCAAGGGAGGGTAAGTGCTACGCCTCCGGTAGCTATTCTTTCAAAGGGAGCGCCAACCCCTGGGAGCAGTCCTCCCGAAACTTTAAGTAACCTTCCCTCTGGTATGGGATGGGGCCCTTCTATACCTTAGATCTAGGCTCAAAAACAATACAAAAACATATGGTTATTCCCACTCTTACTTTCAGGGTTCTACTTTCTATAAACGTAAGGTATCCGGCAGGTACAACCTACTGAATTTTGGCAATGAAAATAAGGGCTCAAAATGTAATCAATCCTGTAAGATATGCAGTAAAATAGACTATAACAACTATGTAATATCACAAGTCACTGGATTCAAAATTAGTACCTATAAACACACAGTGTGTACATGTAATTCAAAAAACCTTGTATACTGCATTGGATGCGGTACTTGTGGTCTACAGTATGTTGGAATAACCACTCGAAAACTTAGTGAAAGAATTAAAGAACATATTAGAGGTATAACCAAGGAAAGCGATAATAAAATATTATATAGACACTTCAAGGAAAAAGGATGCAACGGTAAGGATATTAAAATATCAATCCTGGACAACTTACCCGATAATCAAGACAAAGAAATACTTAGAAGCAAAGAGCTTTTTTGGATCAAATTGTTAATGACACCTTTCCCATTCGGTTTCAATGACAACATTAAAGGCTATGGAAATATCAGTTTAATGCAAAACCCTTTAACAACCTCAAAATCTCATCCATTTTTTAGCCTCAAAATATTGAAAGATAGTACAAATAGAGGCAACCATAGACATCATAATAGACCAAACAGTACTATAGAAGAAATTTCTAATGAAATCAATCTGCTCTTTGAACACACGGAAAACCCATATGAGATCTTCAAGTATCTAAAGTCTAAACCACAAAAGTATATTTCCAAACTTATACACCACCTAATTTATCCCACCAACTATTTCCATTTATCAAAAATCAATAAAATCATATTACTTAGTACATTATGCTACTATCACTTCAACAAACAAGACGATAACAATAAAAAACGATTCAAAAACCTGCCTTCAGTGAAAATTCCTTTTTACACTACGATTCTGGATAGAGTCAACCTTAACAAGGTTTTCAACAATCAAATCGTTAAAGCTCTAATCGCTGAAGGAAACACGGAATTCAAAGAATTTAGAGTTATTTTTGAATATAACAATCCGATTTCTACACGTATTTTTAACTATAACAAGTTTTTAAACACAATTCAAAATTTTGATATTGCAAATATACCTTGTATTTGTAATAAATATCAAAACTATGTATCAAGCCATCACAAACATATTATTACAGGTGATATCAGTATTTTCAGGAAACTAGACATATATGAAATGCTCAAAAAAGGTACGAAATTTCGACCTCCATACATATTAACTAAGCAAAAAATCAAAAGCATTTGGTTAGATATACTTCAAGAATACCTTGTTAAACTAAAGAAAAAATACCACTTAAACAATCATACTATGGAAAAAATCTGCGAAATTGTCTACCATAACTTTGGAAAAATTGAGTCCAAACTATTCTACTGCACTAACAATAATACATCAGCTAATATCGATAGAAAAGAACTTGACTATATACATAAATTCTTTGTAATCTGCCCCCTTGATAAGGCTAGTTCCAATTACGGGATCATTTGCAAAAGATTATACTTAGAAATAATAATAGAAGAGATGGGAATAACTACGCATATAAAAGGCAATCACATATACGATAAGGTTGAGCATGCCAATATTGACGAGATCATTAACAAACATCTTACCTTTACCAAAAATATGCACATTAGAATCAACGAAGGATGTAATATTCCCGTTATCTATTGTTTACCAAAATTACATAAAAACCCTATAAAATTCAGGTTTATAAGTGGTGCGTATAACAGCAGTACCAAACCCATTACAACTGAATTGTTAAGTCTTCTCAATTTTATTAGGAATCACTTCAGAAACTATGCAAATACTGTTCTAAAGAATAAAAAATGCTTACAAACTTACTGGGCTATTAATGATATCAATATATCATCAAATCTAACAAACATAGAGGCTAAAAATAAACGGCTATTCTCGGCTGATTTTACCAACATGTTTACCAACATTCCCCAAAATATCATTACCCATAATCTAAAAGAAATTATCAAATTATGCTTCAAAAATGCCTCCAAAAAATACATAAAAATTAATAACAATCAAAGAGTCATGTACTCCTCCACACAAGAGGATAATGACGGTTACAGGTACTATAGAGTAGAAGATCTAATTTATCTTCTAGACTATATTCTACATAATAGCTTCTGCCGAGTAGGCAAACAACTATTTCATCAAAAGGTTGGAGTACCTCAAGGAGGTAATGCTAGCCCTATAATCGCAGATCTTACACTTTCATACTTTGAATACACATTTGCATTTAACACACAAAATCCAAATTTCCTATTCCGGGCATATCGATATATGGATGACATACTTATTATTCACAATAAGACACAGGAATACATAAAGTCTTTATTGAAAAAAGTATATAACAATGTTTTAAATATGGAAACCACCAATACTACACTGTATGAGTGTAATTTTCTAGACCTACACATCCTTATCGAAAAGGATATTATCATCACTAAACAGTATAATAAAACGGAAGACTTTGGTTTTGATGTTGTGCGATTCTGTCACGGAACTTCGCATATAAGCTTTGCACTCAAAAATGCGATTATCTATACAGAAGTTTTAAGAATCTACAGAACATGCACGAAATTTGAAGATTTTCATGAAAGAATCAAAAGCCTGATTAGGTTGTTACTAAAATTAAATTATAGCAAAGAAGTCATACAACTAGGAATTTTCAAATGTATTACTTTCAACAAATGTATTACATACAAGTATATTCAACTGAGCAAATTCAGAAATGTTAAGAAATTTGTTTGCAATACCATAAACAGTATGATCTGACTCCTTGGCCTATCCTTTGATCTATTTGAACTACCCCACAGGTATAAAAGGCAATCCCGCTACAGTGATACCACTATTCCTCTCCAGCCCACTCCTCCCTACTGATGAGCCTCGGGAGTGGTCTCAAACAGTTTCCTGTCTAGGGGTAGAGGCGAAACAGGACCTTTGTTGATGAAATTATTTTGTTTGGATGGACTGGTCAGTGGGCTGATAATATTTACATTCATTTGCTGTTGCTGGCACTTTGTGTGAATAATGTGAGAACAGTAAAAAGTCACTTCGCACGGATCCGTTTGAATTTCGCTCAGAGTGGCTAATCGATGCGTTGATTGCAATAATTATGTGCAGGGTATTTGCAGCTGTATATGTGAGCGCGCGCATTGCGCGGCACAAGCGACGGCACCATACTAAGAACTCGCCAGTATCTTTTCTGATGAAACAAATTGTGAAAGTGTGTACGTGTATAATTCAATACAACCAAACCAAATAAGGGTAGATTGTAGGAAGAATTTCTAGTAAATCAATAGATTTCAATCTTACAAGTCGTAACGGATTGGTGTGCAGTACGCAGACCACTCCTTTACGACTGTCGACGACACATTCATTTGCTGCAGATGGCACATTGCACGGATACACTCGGAAAACGATGTAACGTCATACTTGGAATTATGTTGCACTTATGACGGACATTGAAAAGCGTCTCTGGTAAAGAGGGTTGTACATGAAAAGATTCTTTCTTGATTCTTGGTAATCCTCCGTGTCTTTTCTTGTTAACTTGCTCAATTTTCTTTTCCACATCGAGACAGAGATTGTATAGGTTGAAAAATCTAAATTAACTAATTAATCAGTGCTAATATAACAATTTGCTCTACTTGGCTTCTCTAAATATTCTCTCCAGATAGTACTCGTCCCGCGGCAGAGGTATGCTATAGTGTGGACCCCGGCCAGGTTCTCATATGTACCTCCGCGCCGCGCACGCAACGCGCGTCGGGCTGCCTTCTAGGCGCCCTCATGTATTCGTGTCCTTTCGAATTTCTAAGCTTTTTTCTTCTTTCTTCTCCGTTCTTTGTGCTTCTACTCTGTATTTCAGGCAAGAAATGGCAGATAACCGCTGCAACACGCCGTCTTCCTTGTTATCCAACATGTCTGAGGAGCTAAACCAGGCAAGACTCGGTCTGCCGGTTGCTGCAGCGGGACCCTTGTCTTGAATGTTCCTTCTAGGTTAGCCCAAGTCCTGCCCGAGGACTCGCCGGGCCGCATACGTTGTCTAAACAAGCTTGAACTCGTGTTTAGCAAATTTATCGTGTATCTGTACCGTCACATTTGTGATCTTTTCTTCTACAATTATTTGAAGTATGGAGACAAAAAACAAGAGGTGCTTGTTCAGACAATGTATGCGAGTACGGTCCGAATTCCTATTCCTATGAAGGACACTCCGTGTTTCACCAACCGGCCACACGTAATCAAACATTTTGAATCCAGATGGGGTCATATAAGGAGTTCTTTTCGCTTATCTCACTTGATTGCATTGATTGCAAGACCTCGGCGAGTCATTGGGGAGGACTTGGGCTAACCTAGAAGGAAAATTCAAGAGAGAAGTTGGCTGCAGCAACCGGCAGACCGAGTCTTACCTGGTTCAGCTCCCTCAAACATGCTGGATAACAGATAATAGGGCATGTTGCAGCGATTATCTGCCATTTCCTGCCTGAAATACACAGTACAAGCACGAAGAACGGAGAAAGAAGAAGAAAGAAGCTTAGAAATTCGAAAGGAAACGAAAACACGAGGGCGCTTAGAAGGCAGCCCGACGCGCGTTGCGTTCGCGGCGCGGAGGTACATATGAGAACCTGGCTGGGGTCCACACTATACCATCGCGAAGGTAATTCAGAATGAGGGGAAAGATGGTGGAATCTCTGTCGATGAATAAATGTCCGCGCTGTAAAAATTGTTTTCTTTTAAGTCTGAAAAAATAATCCGCTCACCCTATCAAGCCGATCTTTCCAATCTCTCTGGAAAATTCGATTGAAATAGCTACCTTTGACTGAAGTCAATGTGCTCAGAGAGGTTTTAAATAACACACCTTCAACTTCCAAAACTATGGTTGGCGCCATTTTGCTAAAATATGAACAGAAAGGATAACAATTTTATCCCTCACGAGAAGAAAAGTTAGAAGAAAATTTTGACTTGTGAAGACTACGAAAACCTGGCAAAACGAACTTAGCGTGCAAGAACTTCTATGGAATTGAAAGTCACCGACTTAGGCCCGTATGCGCGATCCCCGCTGGGAGAGGAGGGGATCTGAGAGGGAATACGTCATATCTCCCTACTCTAGGTATCTTTCTTCTTGTTCTCTATTTGCTTATGAAGGTTCTCATACCTATACACCTGCGCATAATGGATGCCAGGTTACTGCCATATAAGATTGGTTTTTTGCCATTTTCTGTGATCCCCTGGGGATTATTTGGAATATTCGAAATTTTCTCGAATAATCAAATAATCGAATATAATCGAAAATCAAAAGTATCAAATAATCGAACTTCGAATGTTTTCAAGAAAAAAAATTCGAATATCCGAATATCGTATATTTTTGGAAATCAAAAATACCGAATAATCGAATATTGGATATTTTCGAAATAAGAAAATTGTCGAATAACCGAATATCGATTATTTTCGAAATCAGAAAATTGTCGAGTAATCGAATATCGAATATTTTCGAAACGAAAAAATTTCAAATAATCGATATATTCGAGAAAAAAAATCCCAATAAACGAATACTATGCATTGACTATGTCGAATACTCAAACAACTTTTGATCGAATTAGCACGACATAGGACTCCATGATGTGGCAGGTCGAACAACAACAAACGATATTCGCTGATATAAAAAAAAGTGACTCTATCATGTAGTTATCCGATTGCACGAAAATCAAATAGTCTAATAACTATTAAAAGTAGATATTCGATCGAATTCATTCGAATACTTTATTGGAATACTCGAATATTTATTCCATTCGGTCCAAAGTATACTGTTGATCCCCTGGGGATCCCCATGTAGGAGATGAACTCTCATTTTCAAAGTCATTTATCTTCCTGAAAATTCAATGAAAACGCTGCAAAATTGTGCTGAAGATTTACTACGGCACTGCTGAGCATGTTTTCGACAAGAGAAATGGATCCTGAAATTGTGAATTTTTCTAAAATCCTTAGCTCACGAGCAGAGGTTCATCGAAGATTTCGATATCCTGAGATTCCACTTATTTCTACTATAAACATGTTTAGCAGCGCCGTAGTATATCCTCACCATAGTTTTGTTCATTGACTTCTCAGGAAGACAAATGACTTTGAAAAAACCTTTCATCCCAGGGGATCCCCAGGGGACCACACAGAATGCCAAAGAACAAATCTTGTATGGTAGTAACCTGACACCCACTATGCGCAGGTAAGGGTATGAGAACCTTCATAAGCAACATAAAAAAGGGAGAAGAAAAATAGCTAGAGTAGCAAGATTTGACGCACCCCCTCTCAGATCCCCTCCCCTCCCCAGCGGGGGTGTACGTGCTTACGGGCCTAAGGCCTAAGGCTTACCTCACGCGATTTCAGTCGCTGCGCGATCTGACACTTCAACGACTCTTCATAGGTGGTCGTGAACGCACTTTGCTTGGGTCGGACTTGCTGCCTCTTGTTACAACTTAAGGAATCTATGCGCCCATGCATGCAAGAGCCGCGTATGCTTAATCTGCAGACATCTGGGAAATTGCCAAGTCACGAGGGTGTGGCGATTTCGCAAAATCGCGAACGGTATGCCTTAGGCCTAAGACTGCTTCTGCGCCTTCGTCCTGCATTACCCCTCTAGCTTCAGAATTGGCTGTGGCATCTGCGCAAATGCTTCTGCTGTTATGGGATCACATACCTCTAGGAAGACTCCTTGTTGGCTCAGGAAATCCACACGAAACAGCAGCAGTTTATATATTGACCGATTGTGTATTGTAGTAAGTAGCGATTGATAGGAGGATTGGCGGCAGATAGCAGTACTTCTGTCGATGACTGATTGTGGTGATGACAGTCAGTAATTTGGGAGGCCCTTATATACATCTAAGGAGCCTGGCACAGAAGATTCTGGAACAACCTCGTGAAGGCGAGGCAGACGGAGAGGGGGTAAAAGATTTTTGAAATGTTTGAGGCAACAGACAAAAGGGGATGGTTAAAAACTGTGGAACTTTCCAGGACGAGAGATATACAGTTAATAACAACTGATATGGGCAGTTAAGTATGTGTCAGCAGAGATTGGTCGCTCCATAATACTGATGTTATCACAATTTCGCAACTGGTATGATGCAATTCGTTATCTGCACCTCATCTGCACCTGTTTTTCGTTTTCGTGATAGAATCGTCTCTAACTCCTGGGAATCTTCTACAGCAGAGCGTTAAGCTCACATTTTCACTCGCTTTAGTCGTTTTTCAAGTTTAGCATCTCTAGGACTTGAAGTCTCGTGACTGTGCTAAAAAAAAACTCCAAAAAGCCACAAGCAAGCACCGGATATAAACACTAGAAGGCTCCCTCCTCACAACTTGTAGCTCTCGAGCCTCAGAGGAATATGCCGTTCAGCGCTTTCAGCAGTCTGAAGGACGCTCGGATTCTGAAAGTTCTGACTCGCCCACCTGAACACTTCTTGTGATGCAAATTGAGCAGTGCTGAGTCAGGGAATGTCTAAGCAATCCTCGGAGAGGACGAATGTCAGTTCGTTTCTGTCTTTCTTGCTTGTTTTGATCCGGAATTGTCAGATTTTAGATCGCAGTATCTATTCACACTTTGTGATATGCAAGTTTCGTGATTTGTGGGGTTGCGCAGTGTTCGCAGTTTGAGGTTGAAAAAGGAACTGCACAGAATGCATCTCACGGACCTGCAGATCTGTAGAAGCCATGCGTCTGTTTCGAATCACTTTAGATCTAATTTTAGTGCCCAGTGATGGCAGATGCTCATGCTCACAGAACTAGGACTCGTGACTTTTATACCGGTTCACAGTGTGATTTGTGGTCACTTGGTTGTACATTCTATTTCGTACGGGAAAATATCCATTTCCAATGGATTCCAAAGATAGCAAAGTCTACGCCGAAGCAGTAGCCGAATCTAAGCGGCCTGAAGGTGAGAGAATCACAGCAATGGTCGCTGAGCTTTGAATACATGGATGCATTACAGGTGCCATATCAGCAGAAGTAACACGCGCTACCTACAACGGTTACACTATCCCAAATCTTTCTTATTTTAAGTAAGTATGTGTTTCTTCATTATAACCATAAAGCATGAAATACGTTATGAGAAACTCTTCAAGGGAATTGGTTGATTTTCCACACTTGCATATAGCATTCTCAAGAGGATAAGTTGCTCGATTGAAAGAGAATTTTATCTTATATATAAAGCCGAATGTCTGTTTGTCTGTATGTCTGTATGTATGTCTGTATGCCTGTGTGTACGTATGTTCCGAATAGAAAATTCCATTTCTGAACGATCCGCACCAAACCTGGCACACATACACATCGGGCCCCGGCGGGCGTCATAGGCTACTTCTCGTCATCGATCGATATCGATTTTATCGATTTTTTGCAAAATTTGAGCTACGGGGTGGGCGTTGGCACAGGGGGGTAATCGAGCATGCTGATTACGAATATAATAATGACAGGGCCGGGCGGAGCCGTGTAAGTCAACTACTAGTTCATGTATAATCACTACCCCTATTACAGATGGTTCCGCCATGGTCTTGCCAAACTGATCGCTACACTATTCAGCAAGGAGTCTACCCTAGCATCTCTGGACAGCATGATTTCAGCATTGCAAAACTGCGTCAAAAAGAAATATATTTCCATAGAAACAATGGACATCTACTCTTGCTCCAATCTAGAAAAGATACCACAGTTCAAGTGATCGAATAATCGAATATCTTCTAATCCTTTAAATCTTTGACATTATCCAAACTCGATCAAATAGTCAAATGTGCGTAGAACGTGGCGTCTGTGCCATTGCCTTCGTTCAGCAGTAGACCATTCTTTTCTGCATGTCCGATATCTAATAAAGAAGAGGCTAGGCATATTTCAGTGACGGGTATCCGTGTCTACATTAGGAAATGTGTCTAAAAATTGGTGCTGAGTACCGCTTGCTTTACGAGAATGAGCTGAGCCTTTTTCTCTGGCAACTCTTTCGGGCAGAAATGTCACCAGTTCCCACCTATATTATTTCTGCTTCTTAATACCATGGACGCCGAAAATTTGGTGGCGAACTGTTCAGGACAACAAAGGCAAGACCGCTTTATGTTTGAAGCTTTCTGACCATTACACTTTGACAGAATTACGCATGATTGGTACGCAGTCATCGCGATCATTCCGCCTTTCGATGCATTCGCCTCTGTGGGATTGCGACAAAATACTAAAAGTCGTTGACAAATCGAAGAATATTCTTTGCATGCATTTAGAGGTGTGTGTGTGCTTCTTTTGTTTTTCATCCCAACAATATATGTCCTGTTTTTGTGCAGATCAAGAGCGAGCTTGAAGGTGCTCGTGAATAAACACAGATGCCTATACGATTCACAATATATGCGAAAAAGCAATCATTTGCTCTGCTACCGTTCATGAACGAAACTACAGACAGATATAACTTTACATCCGAGCATATTTTTTTCCTCTTATGTAAGATCTTTTGGCGAAGAATTTCCCGATCCTTACAATTTTTTTCTTAGTATTTGCTATTCCGAGATGCATGTTATACCCTCCAAGTTCAAACATTTCTCTACTTTTTGGCTATTAAATCAAATGTAGGGGTGCTTTTTGTTAGTAAAGTCTTTTGAGGGTCAGTTTTCCAGTATATCGACGCTCTTACCGTTGCAAGAAATTAGGAAGCAGCGTTCTTACGAATATAAATAGCGCGCGACAAGAGTAATCTGTTAGAAGACATGTAAAAAGAACTCCAGATACTAGGAACGTCTTTCAGTGATGTTCTTTGCAATCAGATAGAGATCCATTCAAATGTGAAGGTGTCGATAGAGAAGTGTCTTGAATACCTGCTTGTTTTTTTGAAATTTGTTCTAATCATTAGACAGCAACGTGGACTAGGTATCCAGATCTCCTTTTTGTCATAATCAGAAAGCTTGATTTGATAGAGAAAATTAGCTGAAAAAGATGCTATGCGATGTTTATCTCGTAAATCAGCTTATACGCTTGACACTCAAAAAATAAGGATATAAATGTAAGGATATACTTTTAACAACTACCATATATTTACCGTAGTTCAACAAAGAACTGTCATATGGCATGATTTCACTACACCTCCTACGTAAATTCAAATAAATGAAACTGATAAAGTTACGCTAACGAATGGATTAGTTGCAACACAAGGATATCTAGATATAATCGCTGCATATCAGGCAACAGAATTCGGTTTGTTTAGTGACTATGGGACAAGAAAAGGGTTCCCAAGAAGATGCGGAGGTCAGGGTGGTGTGTCAAGTGGTACACTTAGAATGTTTTATCTCTGGGCAACAAGGTATTTTGCTGGTTCCTTTCTAAAATCTGCACTTTGAATGTTTTCCTTGATTTACCTTCAAAAATAATTTAGTCAATTTTGAAGTCATCACATCGCCGTTGTAGGCAATCAAGCGCTGAAGAAGCAAAAAATGCAGCTGGCGTCGCCTGCAGTGAGCTTGTTCGTCATCTTGCCAAAACGACCTAGGGGAAAATGGGACGTTCAATGATCACTACTGACATGATCAATGAGTTGCCCGCACTTCTGCGACGGAAAGTAGGACTTTGATGTTGAATTACTACAAGGAAATTCTTGGTGGAAGTGGCCATCCATAACTCGCTATCTGAGGCACAGTAGATACCGAAAACAGACTTGCAATAAGCGTTCAATGCTCCTCAACATGGTGTACAGGGTATCCCAAAAAATGTGCACACTGTCTGATTGTAGATAACTCTGTATGTCGCCGATTTCCGAATACCATTCTGCATAGCTGGCTAGATTTGCAGCATAAAGCGAATCAGTAATCGCTCTTGCTTGCTGTAAGATTACGGTAAAAACTTGGGGCTTTGTGCCATTGAATGCCATATTTCCTTCAGAAAGATAACCAAATGGGCTAAAAACTCCTATAAAAGGCTAATCGGAGTTGCTGACTCCAAATATGAGATCTGCCCTTACTAAAATGCTAATTTGAGTTATTCCAGGTATAACGTAAAAGCTTTCAGTGCTCGTCAAAATGCGTTTACACATTGAGAAAAGCTTCAAAAGTTTGTATAAAGTTGCGTAGTGAAATCAGCATGCGCGGAAACCCTGCTGCACAGATTTTCAGATTTTTTGACAATTTTTTGTCATTCGCCTATACTCTACCTTCCTCCTATAATAAGGAATCACAATCAGCGGTCCGCTCCATACTACAAATCTAAAATGGTTCAACTCCATTACTTGTGAGCGGCGAAATACGCCATCGCTAGAGAGACAACGATCAAAAAGGTACACATTTTTTGGGACACCCTGTACTTTATTTGAAAGAAAAAATAAGGAAGTAAATTTATTTGGAAAGTCACTTTAACTTGAAATTACTTTTCTTGTAGTTCACTCACACCGCTTGAACTTTGTGTTTGTATTGAAATGCACTATATCTGGAATGTATCATCCACGATTCGTGTAGAGGCGGGGTTTTGCCAACACAAAGCGTGGCGGTTTTTGATAGCGAGAGAATACGAAAAACGATGCTATGACGTGGAGGATAGACAAGTTCATCCTTAAAATCAGGGGAAGTCCGCAACCCGCCTCTACACGAATCGTGGAGACGATCATAAATTTGCTTGTATATGGAAGCCACTATAGATAAAGTAGAAATGAATAGGTTGAGCTCACTTTATCCCATTACTACAAAACGTTTTCGTGGCGCGTCCTGAGCATCTGTGAGGGGACGCGACAAATTTTTTTTAGATGAAAGTGCGTAACATCAGCCACCACTCCGAAAATTTTTTTTGAGATGTTTCTCAAATTTTGCCTTCAGCTAATTTAAATTTTTAGAATTTTTAAAAATTACTTTAATTATTTAGTTTAGGTACTAATCTCTCTTCCCAGTGTTTTTGTTTTAGTTTTTGCGAAGCAAAACTAGGGGGGGGGGAATGACTTTCAATATGCAGAGTAGTTTTCGTTCTGCTGCTTTTGCTTTAGGAGCTAGAATTAATCTTATATATAAAGCTGAGTGTCTGTTTGTCTGTCTGTCTGTCTGTCTGTGTGTACGTATGTTCCGAATAGAAAATTCCATTTCTGAACCGATCCGGACCAAACTTGGCACACATAAACTTCGGGCCCCGGCGGGTATAGGCCACTTTTCGTCATCGATCGATATCGATTTTTGCAAAATTTGAGCTACGGGGCTGGGAGTTGGCACAGGGGGGTAATCGGGCATGCTGATTACGAATATAATAATGACAGGGCCGGGCGGAGCCGGGTAAGTCAACTACAGTACTACTGTAGTCTTCCTATAAAGCAAGAAGTTATGACCATGTGCGAATATCCTTAAAGCGAAAAAAAAATCGTTAGTTTTGATGTGCTACATCAGTGTAAATTCGAATCTTTCTATTTCGCTTTTGAGCTCAGGCACCCATATCCTCAGGTGTTCCATGTTATTGTCTCAGTTTTTTGAATGCGCATGGTTTCTGTAGCTAAGTTCTAAACTTCAGTCACTAAAAATTCGGATTCCCAATTGTATTCTACGAAGCTATTATTCTTGTTTGTCTAGTATAAACCTAAATAAATCTGAAAGGCAGATATCTTCGTGTTTCCTTATTTTGAAATTTTTTTATGGAAATCTGCTTGAACGTATTTTTTGGCCAACCTTCAACTCAAAATTTTACTTAATTGTTCGCTGTTGAGGCAATTTAGTGGTTCGTGAATTTTTTTGGAAAGAAAGTGTATATCGTGAGTATTTAGGTTAGTATCTCGTAGTTTTGAATTCTGGACCGGTAGTAGTCTGGTCGAAACTCCAGTTTAAAACTGCGCGTTAATTCAGAGTTAACTCCGAGTTTCGTTTCTGAGATTCGGAGTTTCGTATTGCTACTTGCGGAGCTATTATAGATGTTGAGGAGACGCCATAGCTTTATCGCAAAGCACTCCCACTAAGTCGGCAGTCGAACTTTCGTTGCTCAGCGCGAAGTGCCTACCACTAGACCACTAGGCCACGGAAAACCTTTGATGCATCACCGTTCTGCCACCATAAATACATGTTGCTTACATCTTATGTGTTCAGGCACGTCAACAGGCATGGTGCCTCTTCGTCCTATGCAGAGTAATTCACTGCCCTACACACACTCCGCCCTCCCCCCCCCCCCCCCCCCCATTCTCTACCCCCACTTGCCATATCATCTTTCATACAGAAAATACAGGCCTAGAAAAATTGATTAACTCCAGCTGCATTCCTGAGTAGGTTAACTGGCATAGGTTACTGCTTTATTGACAACACATGAGTTAATTATCAAAATTCGGCTGAAAGCCATCAAATACTACATATGCAAATGTGACAACCATTGTGATAAGCAACACATCATAAAATATCTACATGCCTCTATCATTTTGACAATACTGTCGGCCGCGGCTGATGATATACACTCCCAGTTCCGGACCCTTTAACCTCTTAACCAAACAAGATCATCCTAGTGCTTAGTAGTGAGCCCTGCAGAGTAAACCAGAAAGTGACACAATATTCGCAGCGGATAAGCGTATCACAAACTATAGTAGGAACCGGATATTCGCATTGAAATATTCGAAATATTCGACTATTCGAATAATCGAGAGGTCGAATAAATGAATAGTTCTTTATTTGAGGAAATCGTTTATTCGACAACTCGAAAAAATGAATTCTAATATTGGAATATTCGAAAATTTCAAAAGACATTCGC